CAGCGAGCGCGGCTATAGCGGATGTGAGCTCCGATATAAACGGACGGAGACCCCTGTCTTCACTTATGACAGGTTCCTGGCTAGGTTTCTTTGGCTTGGAATCCTTTTGTACATCTTCTGGATAGGAATCCTGGTTTGTGAGCTCTGATACAATCGGTAGGAGCCTCCTGTCTTCATTAACGGTGGGTTCCTGGCTGAGCTTCTGTGGCATGGGATCCTTTTGTACGTCTTCTGGATAGGAATCCTGGTTCGTGAGCTCCTTTTGGGGCTCACTGAGGTCAACAACGTCCGGGGTTCCTTTGTGACGGTTTTATTAAATGGTGCCTTCCCTCCGGTGATTGCGCCTTGATTTGACTTTTGTTTGGCTACAGAGTTTTCGAGCCAAGATCGAACGTACTCACTTTTGGAGTGACCATCTTCATCATAGTCGTCTGATTCGTCTTCTTCTTCAGCCATCTGTAAAGAGATCTGCGCAAGTTCTAGTTTGATCTTTAATACTTCTTCACGAGCCTTCAAAATTCTTCTATTGGGCCGAACAGTCTTCTTTGACTTCGTACTGCAATCGGTGTGGCACCTCGGTGGCTCTACGGTGTGGGTGTCTTCCCGGGCTGGTGGCGATGATGCACGGCTAAAGTCATCGTTGCCTTCTATCTGTTCCCTCTGCTTCGTTGTGCGGGCCGTAGTGGCCGGCGCGGGCAGGGGTATCCCCCCTCGAGGGGGGCAGCATGGCGCCTCAGCGCCCTCTACCGTTGACGGTGAGCGTGGTGGTATCTGGTGGTGGACGGCGGCGTTACTGGCCGACGAACCTCCTTCCAGACCGACGGTCCACGCCTTGGCTTCCCTTCCTTGCGAACGGGTGATCGGCATCTTGAATCTGAAAAATTCTGCGGTTTTAATACGGTGGTGACTATTTATCCGGTTCCGAAATACAAACGGATATATCCGGCTCGAAGGACCAACGAATGTGCCGGACGGGCGAAACTCTCCGGAGTAAATGTTGTCGAAGATACTTTGCGAGTCGCTCACGTCCTACACCTATAAGTTCCGGTGGGTACTTTCACTGCCGTCTTTGTGGTTGCCGCTGAAATATTGTGGACTGAGGTTCAAATCAAAATGCACGATTAATAAATACAAATAGCAAGGTAGTGGCCAGCGGTTCGACTGATTAATTAGCCGCGAAATTTTATAACTATTGACCACGGTTGAACTACGGTTGTTCACTATTGGTTGGTCACTGTATATTTCAAAAGATTTCTTTAAATTGTACGGTGGTATCAAATATCTATTGGTAGTAGCTGGTTTTCTAACACTACTGACTAGCAGCTATTATCAACTAAACTAGCTGATTTTATCACTTGTGTAACTGCGGATATCAGTTACCACTTTCACTATATGTAACTGCGAATATCAGTTACGACCTTTTTTAGGCTAGCTAACACTTTCACTATATGTAACTGCGAATATCAGTTACGACCTTTTTAGGCTTGCTAATACTTTCACTATGTAACTGCGAATGTCAGTTACGACCTTTTTCGGCTAGCTAACACTTTCACTATTCACTATATACTGCTACTAGTCACTTCAGCTACCACCGGATACCACTCACTTCACTTCACTTGTCACTGGTAGTTCTTCACACTACTACTGGTACTGGGTCCCGAGCCCCTAAGGTAGACTTTAGCAATACTTTACAGTGAGCCGCTTGCCATTTTCCGTTTTGCCTCTTTATTGCGTGATTTAAAACTGATTGCTACACTAACATGCTATACATCATTAAATCGGTAGTCTGGTACTTTAGTATTATATCATAAAGGTTATTAAAAACATTAACATTGTAAAAAGTTATTAAACGAAATGTCCCAAATTTTCATAATATTTGGGTATTTTAATTCTTTAATTTTTCTATAACTACGAAATGCGTTTAATTATAAAAAATATTCCTATACTTCTTTATTCTATAAGCCATATGCTAATTAAATGTCATATTTATAACTCTTTTAAAACATAAAATTATTTTCATTATTTTTGGTATAAACTATTACGCAGTTAATTAAAAAACTTCTAGAGAGTTCTACGATAAGACGCGCTGTGATTGGTCGATTTTTCTTAATATAATAAAAGTTGTTAACATTACTTGTTATCAAAACGATATTCTATACAAATATACTAAGAGTTATAAATATGTTAAACAACTATATTAATACACGTTTTCACTCAGTTTTCTTGGTAATTTCACTATTAATACAAAAAACAATATTCTTTATCACTTTGTTTCTTAAGGTTGTTAGGCCGTCGCGAACATTTACAATACCCCTGGTCACGGGGGGGACTGAGGTGTTTGACGTTCTGATGTCATAGTTAACGAATGCTATAAGTCCTGCAGTAGTAAGCTTGGGTTTGAATTTAAATTTTATTAATTATGGGACCCCAAGCAGATGTTAGCACCCTGACATGTTCTCTATTAAGATTAGGATGTTTTTTTTTTAATTTCAATAGCCTTGCAAATCATCCTTGGTAGAAGTCGTTGTTCTTTGGCGAGGTATTATGTTCTATCAGATCTGATATAATGGTTGGGACGATACTGAACAGACCTCCCGGAGCTTCGGTGGCTCACATCAGCAATATGTTCTTTGCCGCGGGTTTTTATGGATCTTTCACCCAAAGATGAGTAAAAAATACACGTAAAAAAGGTAAAATTAGAAGCGATAAAATTCGTAAATTTCATTTTATTCCATGTGTAGTATTTGCATAAATATAAGAAATCATTCTCTACTCAAACGTAAAAATAATGTCAGCATTTATTTTATGATGCCAATCAATATTAAATGGGACCAATGATATGAATCAAATATAAACATCATACTGTAAATTAATGGACGACGGTGAAATTCATCATTGTTTTGCAACTAATTTAACTTTAATAATAAAAGAATGTAAAGTGTAAAACATTTACATTTTACACTTTACATTCTTTCATCATTTCGCAATTTCGATTCCAAAACATTGACCTTTCTTACATATTATATATACATTGGAAGACACACCTGATATAAAAATAGTAATTGTATATAGACATAACATATTAATGCAATTATAAAAAATTTATTTATTCACGTGTTCCTGTAATATATTATATCTCTGCCAAATATCAATCATCTACGTCCAATGGTTCTTGAGAATTCAAAAAGATTCTTTAATAAACAGATATAGAGACACAGACACAGAGGTGACTGATAGTGATCGAATTTCGCTAAATATGGCACGGACCAACTTTTATTAATGTTGCTAAATTGACGTCCACGCGAGCGAAGCCGCGGGTAAAAAGCTAGTATAAATATAAAATTTGCTAGTGTCAAGTATATTAACTTCTTCACAATGTGCTATATATATGTAATGTATCATTGCGAAGTTTTTGGGAGGTTTTGATGACAGCTCAACCCCGCGGACGATGACGATGGTAACTCAACTTCTAAGGGCGCAAGCGAACAAAATAACTTGAGGTTTATATCAACATCGCAGCACTTGTTTCGGCATTGTCACTAATAGTTCACTTTACACTTTACACTTTACACAGACACTCAATACACAAAATTGCATCACTTTTATGTATCAACATCTATTTCAAATTATTATATAACGATAAAACAGAAGCAACTATCCGTCGACGGTCAAGTTCCCACCAAAATTCACAGTCGAAATTTTTGCCGTAAGTAATGTTGTCACGGCACATTATAATATAATATAGTCAAGTATATATAGTAATAATATAGTCGTTTTAATAGACGAATTTGATAAGGATTGTACAACTGATTTAGTGCCACAGACCAAACTCGCTGGTCAGTGCAGACAACCGGATCTAACAGTCACCGATGTTTTAATTTTAACTAAATATTTTTCTACTCTCGCCTATAGTCGGCATTTCTTTTTCATCAACGGCCCATAAAAGTCCTTGTCGGAACATGTACCTCTCTTGAGCTTGTTGCTTGACGCTGCTGCCCGTTGCCGGTATGGATATTTTAAAACCAACGTAAGCGAGATTGTTATACCGCCATTTATAAGTAGCTATTCGATTGTTTTTTCCATATTCGCCTGTTATAACAACCACGAGACGAAATGGAATGATCGGTTTTCTTACTCCACCACCACAAAGCTAAGTTCGCAAATAATTTTTTTTTAAGTTCTTGTTCTAATTATATTTAAAAACATTCCCTAAAACCATCTATTGGAATGCAAGTAATGTAATGATGTGATAAGTGTGAAAAAACAAGCATGTGACATTTTTATAAGTATAGTACCAAATGGTTCATGTTCTTGTTCTTCTGTCATGGAGCGAAAATACGTCTGAAATAGTATAATGTGTGTACAATGTAAATGTTAATGAGATATAGGGTAATTATTTAAATTTGTGTATAATTATTTAAATTTGTTTTAATCAAAATGGACATATTACAAGCAGATTCATTAGAATATATTGAAATCAAAATTTATTTATTATTGTCTTAGTGTTACATTTTATTCTGGCAAATAAATACTATTTCTATTCTATTGTTTAATAATCTGTTATTTGTTGTATTCTACTCCTATTCCATTCCGCTCCGTTTCGTTTTGTTCCGTTCCATTCTATTCCGTCTATTCTATTCCATTCCATTGCATTCCATTTCATTCTATTACATTGCATTGCATTGCGTTCCATTCAATTCCATTCTAATCTAATCTATTCCTACATCTTACATCCGTAAATCCGTGCACACGAGCTGATTTAGTAACACGAAATAATAGTTATTGTTGTCGCCAGACTACTCTCTACTACTGTACACTGAACAGACCAAATCCATGGTCTCATTATTGAGTAGCGCGATGTTTATAAGCTGTAATTTAACTGAGAACATAGATGAAGAGGAAACATACCATTCCTTATATTAGCTTTCTAAAGAACAACATTAATTGTATGTTTTACAACAAAATTATTATACTAAACTACATTTGTATTATATTTGCAGAGGTGTGTAACATACCGCGTATCGCTTCTGTATATTCTGAACAGCATCGATCAGGTTTTTAAGGTTTCAATAACTTCGGCACCAGTAAATCCTCAAGAAAATGCTGAAGTGACAGTTATCTATAAGCCTAACGTCGTAGACCTATCTTATACGGAATACTATATTATTGATGACACAGATGGAAACACCTACAGATTAACTGTCACTGGAAAGTGTCTTGGTAAATATATAATTTAGAAGCATAAAGCAAATTATCAAGTGGTCTAGCGGCCAAGGCGGAAGGTACTACTGGCTATTATCGAAACTTGTCGACAGTGGGGTAATAGCAATCGTTCTAGTGTGTCGATGATAAATCTAACGTAAGTCTCGCCATCGTAGTGGAATGGTTAGGTCAGCAGAGGCTAGTAACTTGAATATTACCCATGGTGAGCCTGACATGGATTGAGGTTTTTGATGTGTTACATATTTCCTCTCGCTTTCCTGCAATCTGTGGGAGTGATTTCGTTAAAAGTGACGGAAGTGTGTAACAGGAAGCCGGGGAAGCGCGCCTTATTTGATTTGTCCAATGAGCGCGCGCAGGGGCTTGGCTTGTCTAGTCTCCAATCAAAATTTGTTGTGTTAATTAATTAATATACTATTTTCATTAAAAAGAATTATTGTTCGTTACGAAAAACCATATCAAGTAATACTTGAATCATTTTTTCAGGATATACTTAATGGTAACTTTGCTTATTACCAAGGTAAGATGTCAGTCATTGAATAAAACTATTATTTACGGATTTTATCGCGTTTAATTACTACTTTAAATTATTTTTATTATCCCGACGTTTCGGGTGCTGTAAAGCACAAATTAAAATAGTAATTAAACGCGATAAAATCTGTAAATAATAGTTTTATTCAGTGTGTAGTGTTCGCGTAAATTTAAGAAATCATTTTGTCAGACGTTACACATCATAATATGCGACTACGACTGTAAGACTCGCTTGATTTTTTTTGGTTGAGGTTTGGTAAAATCCTTTCATGCACCCCGCAGGAACTGTATAACAATTCAACGTAGCTATATAGTAGTTTTGACTTTTGGGTGCAGTTTATTGGCTTTTTATTGAGAATCACGTCAATTTGTCTCATGGATATTGTATGACGCAACTTTATGGACGACTTGAAAGACCTAAAAGTAACATCAAACAATTTATCCGACTGCAAAGCGTTACGATTATACAGAAAATCTTTTCTATCATAGAAAGGCGCATTGGTGTCTGATTATAAAACCTAATTTTAATAAATGAACAATTTAAACGGGGCCGATCGAATTATTATTGTGGTACTATGATAGTTACATAGTTACTGTTTTATATAAATTACTAAGGATAAACTTCTCTTCAGGACCGAAAGTATATATAAGCAAGAAAAATCTTGTATTTAAGATCTGTAAAAATGAGTCAGAGCAAAGAAAAGAAGTAATAAATATAGTCAATAAAGCAGGCCTTGACACAACCTATCAATGGCTTCTCCCCTATGGCGGGCACGGATTTTTTCAAGTGAGTGTTTTGATAGAATTTAAGGTTTACTTTAATGAAACTAAACATTAAATACTATAAGCTAGCAGCTAATTCTAATTACATTTAATAGATTTCAACCGGTAGCTGCGGTCTTATTCGAGCATTTGAAAACATTACCACGAGTGTTGTTTTTACTGGTACAGCTCTTGGAGTATATACGGCTGAATTAGTTTTATCAGTCTTAAATCAGGTAATTCTATTTTATTATGTAAAACAGCATAATAAACTTTTTTATGTCATAGATATTAATAAGCTTTTTGTAAACAAAAGATTTTGATAAAATTCTATTGAAGAACTACAGGGTACGTACTACGGGTTCGTACTGTTTTCGAGAATCATTACGAATCATTTCGCTCGCAGACTTGATGATGACTTCCACTTACACTTTGTCAGGTAATACAGAATACTAAAGAATATAATCTGCCGTTTTGTCTGGCGTATGTGGACTATGAGATGGCCTTCAATTCAGTCAAAATTAGGGGGTGCTACAGTACCATTAGCGGTACTAAGTTGATAGTCGATATATCAGTGTGCTTGTATAGTAATGATATCTACCCGAATACAGAATCAGAGCACGAAACTTATCTAAATGAAGAGGTGTGTATATCCCCGAAAACCTTTAACTCTGTACTGAAAGACGTTTGTAAGCTACTGATCTAAAACAGATACGATATTAACATCAGTGACGAATACATCACAAACATTCGATTTGCCGACGGTATAGTCATTAAGATAGGATTCCTGAAGGACCTTAGCACTATGCTCAATAATCTCTGTAATATTTCCCTACATGCAGGTATTAAGATGGACATGGACAAGACAAAAATCATGTCTAACGTGCATATTACACCTATACCGGTATTTGTTGTGAACATTACGCTCGAAGTTCTTGATAATTACGTGTAAATGGGACAAAATTTCCGAATATGAAAAGTATCCACAACTAATGAACGTCACACACGGTCAGTTCAACTGATCATTTCAACTGATCGTTCCAACTGATCAGTTCAAACTAAAAGTGTTGATATTTTTTAAAATAGTGGATTTTAGATATATCAATCATGGTACATATATTAACATCGGAGTTTTACATAGAAGTTATGTTTATGTATATATCGAAAATCGGATATTTTATAAAATATTATATAAGGATTTTGGGAATAAATTTGTTAAATGCGGAGGCGCGCGGGCAATACGTTTGCAAGTTCATTTCACGTTTCAATGTTTATTTACTCTGTGTGCTTATCTTAAGCGATTTAATATTACGAGTTCAAAATTTATGCTTTTTTAAAATTTTTTAATGAAAATGGAGGATAATAGTGTTCCTTGTGATGAATAGAAGTGTGTTAAAGTGATAATCGGAGAGGAAATCTTTAAACTTTGTTGAGATAATACACAAGGTTAAGAGTGTATTTCAGACTTATCAATTATCGCAATTAAAAACAGTTATTGGTACAATTAAAACGTTCACCAATATTTTACGTGGACGTAATTAAATCTTTCCATAAGAAAGCGAGACGATTCCACTTATCTTATCTCTTATCCATTAGAATGTAAATAATTTTTTTTTAATTTTGTACATAGTTTGTTTGAACTTTGTTCGTGTTTTACTTTTGTTCATGTATGATGACGATGTAAATATATTTTTTCTTTCGCTTAAACAAACCCAAACGGCTTTCTTCAAAGCCACCGAAGCTATGCAATTGCTGATATGTAATACAATCTATCTAGCAGTGATATGCCTTCTGTGTGCTTTGTTAAACACGTCCTTGACAGCACTGAATATGAAACTGAAGCGTGGAGACAGATCAAGATTGGTGTATTTTTATAAAACTGCTTAAAACAACAATCTATATTATTATCAATTTATATCTTGGGCTTGCCCTAGCTTGGAGCTCTAGCTTCGCCACTGTGTTAGGTGAACCCTCACTAGAAGTAGTGATGACCTGATGAAACAGGCAGGTAACTCAGGACCATACTTTTGGCAATATGAGAGAAGGCCTACGTTTTGTATTGGATTTGTGTGTGACAGTAACAGTAAAATAAATGCAAATATTTTAAAAAACCTCTTATCTTTCTCATTAAGATATTCAAAGTAACGTAACTTCAAATAGTAACGAAACAATTGCAATTAAAGATTTTACAATCTCAGATGTGTGTGGTGTGGACTTGTATTTTTCTCCATCTTGAAAAATTCATATTCGTTTTGCATACAGCTTGACTGCTATAAATACCAATACACTTATATATTTTTTATTATTATTAAATTATTTTAATAGATCACCCGCCCTGGGCCTGACCCTGGGGTAAGAGCTGGCAATAGAAATAAGTTGTATACAGAAGAGCGAAATGGTCATTTTATACAAATTTTTACACTGCGGTTACAAACACATCTGTAAGCGTAGCAACAGTGAATACCCTCTCAGTTAGGCCTAGTCATGTAGGAGCGTAGAAGCGACAACCATTAAAAAGGAAAGATTCACGAGTAGTAGTTGCGTACGAGCAAACGGATAATCACCCATAAGACATACTTTTGAGACACTAGGGCGTAAATGGACGCTGGAGAAGTTGGTTAATCACGAGAACAAAGATCGATGATATGGGAACATATATAATGGACTGAAAGGATAACGTTGAAAATGTTAAAAAAAGAATAAGAAGAAGAATAAATGTAGTTTTTACGATTTTTTTTTCTAGAATGCGGGTGACAAACGAGCACACAGTCCACCTGTTGGTAAGTGATTTCTGCGCCCCATAAATATCTATATCATTCCTCGATCACGAATCAATATGCAGATGCGTTCTCTCCCGTGAGGACTAAGATGGAATGCCTCATTTCCAGTAAAAAGGGTCTCCGGTCGAGCTGACCCATTCGTACTCCAACTATAATATAGCTGCAGCGTGGCTCTACCAAATTATATATATATATATATATATATATATATATATATATATATATATATATATATATATAATATATATACGACGTTTAGAGCACTTTACAGCACCCATGGTCACGGGGGGGGGACTGAGGTATTCACACCAAAATGTCGGGAATATAAAATAATTTAATGTACGAGATATAATCCGTTAAAACTTTTTTATTTAAATGTGTAGTGTTCGCGTAAACATATGAATTCGTTAAGAAATATTAATTTCTTTCCTTCTCATTTTTTTCATCAGTTATTAAAAGTCTAGTCTAGTCTAGTGCTGGAAGGAGTATTTTCCTTAATCGTCACTTAGGCACGAGGATTGATGGTCGCTGTACCATATCTCTGGCTCTCGTGACTTGAACACTGCTCCACATCGCCGGTATACGTATTTTTACGTTTAAAAACATGAAGCTGAAAATGTAAACAAACAGAAATAATAATCATTTATTTTAGGAACCTATATTTGTAAACGTGATAGCTACGGTAAGTTTACCCGGCAACGTCAAGTACAACGTGGACGATCATGTGTTCGAGAAACATTTGAAACGCAAAAGTCGTTTTGGTCACTTGATGGAGAATAGCCTAAACCGTTTGAGTTACATACCTTCAGCATCCGTTTTCGAGAGATACCTCGACTTCGGGATGGGAAGTGTCACCGATATCAGCATGAATATATCACAGACTTTATGTGTCACTAATCATGAACAAGTGGAAGGGTACATACAGTGGATTCCAGGTTTGTTTTTTAATCTCAACCATGTCCATTACCGTTACCGTTACACCAGATAAAAAGTAAACCTCATAGGGTTGGGGTATATTTGCCATAATCGCCGCGTTTGGCAAGTGGGTTGGCAACCGCAGTTTTATACAATATGTTAAGTTCTTATCAGAAAAATGCTGCTGTCGATCTCCTGTTTAAGTTTCCCTCTTTCGCCTCATACGACACCCACGGGCCACGGGTCAATATGGAGTATTGGATATTCTTACACCGCCACTCCCGTGAGCCGTGGTAGCTCAGATGGTTAACGCTCGCTGTAAATATAATGAACGCGGGTAACCCGGGTTCGATCCCCGGCGGCACCAATGAAATTGTTGATTGCAATTTTAAGTGCTAATTTACCACCTGCTCGGCGGTGAAGGAAAACATCGTGAGGAAACCTGCATGTCTGAGGAATAAGAAAAAACATTTCGAAGACATGTTAAGTTCGCCAACACGCATTGGGGCAGCGTGGCGGACACTTCCTTGCCCTAAAACCCTCTCAGAAATGAGGGGAGGCCTGTGCCCAGCAGTAAGACGTATATAGGCTGTAACTAACTAACTAACTAACTAACAACGCCACTACACGGTATTTTTTTCAATTCTTAGTAAAAGAGCTTTGTCACTGATGCGATTATGATGCCCTGGTAGTTCGGTATACGGTACTTATTTGAAATATCTGTTATTTTTAATGTAAGAAGATTTAGAAAGTTTTACATCATTTTTGACTTCAATGAATTTGGCATTTGCACTATGGCATAGAACTAAGATATTTTTTTAATTAAATGTGTGCGATCTAAAACTAGTTTTATTCTAGTCGCGGTTGCTACTATCGTCATCATCATCTTCTTTTTAACAGTACCTCGCGTGCTTGTGCGTGGACTCAACCGTAGTAAAACGGATTTGTTTGAATTGCCACGCTTGCTAGGCAAATTGGTGATGGTGTGCTAAAAAACTTCTCGTATCATTGTCAATTTGGACATTTTAGGTGTCACATTTTAAAGATGGTTATTCCGATATCTGCCACGGCCACAGAAAGCCACGAGATATTCTTCAAATTTCGCTCAGTCAACTCCTAATAATGATAATATATTACATAAATATATTATTATATGTAGTACATTATATGTAGTATATTATGTAATGTCCCCCAGACTGAATTTCAGACAAAGCTCCTTGTATCAACGGAGACACACGCAATTACGCACAGGTACTCTCTATACCCTTACTCTCATAGTTCGATAGAGCGGTTATCCGACACGAGTAGAGAGAGATCAGGTGCAGGACCAAGGGCTTTACGTGCTTTTCGAGGCACTGGGGTGAAATACTCCCAAATTCCCAACTCCGGGCTGTTACTGAGATTTTCTTGGTAGAAAAACCTAATAACTAATTTTGGCCTGATCCGTGAGTCGAACCCGTGACCATATGATCAGCAGTCGCGTTAACGAGCACTAAAACAATAAAGCATCATTCCTTTGATACCTAAGAAACGTGATTGTGTAGTAGATTCACCAATATGTGACACGTCATGTTTTTGAAGTGTATTATTACTTTTTATGTTTTTATATCCTCAGATCCTGATAACATTTTCTTAATAGACCCTATTGCTGCGGTGGTACCATCTAACGAATCAAGATTATTTACAATTCGGTTCAGGTAATTATGTGAACGAAATTCGTATAACAACATTATCCGACAAAATGCCTCATACATATTTATCCTGTCACTTACTGTGGTCACGGTAATATTATTGTGGTATCAGTACCACACACTAATTTAACAGCCGCGCGGCTTATTGGCCACAGTAGAATCGAGAGTCGTAGGTTCGCATTCTTGACTAAGCTAATATTTATGCAAATCATAAAAGCCTGTTTTGGTTCTGGATGTAATATTATTGTTTATTGATTGATGTTATTATAATACGAATGGTAACTTGTGAGTTGTGAGTATATACGTGGTAATACAGTATTTATACTTTATGGGGTACATACATTATAGTTGCTTGGCTATTAGTTGACGCATGGCAACATGTATCCCCTCCCCTCCTCCAAACGGGCTCCCGCCTCATTGTGGTGCAGGAGCTTAGTAGCTCTTGATGAGCCCACTTCGGATTCCTGTTGGTGGACTGCAGCGGGTGCGAAAATTAGTCGATGGCGGAGTCATAAAATAGATTCGCCGCTGGGGTCGGGAAAGCTGTTGTTTCCGGATACACCTTTGGCCTGACCTGGTCTCATAGCCTCTGCTTAACGGACTCGGTAGGTCCGTGGCGTAGCTGGAGTCACGGATGTGAGCAAAAGCATTCCCGTGGCCCTGCCGATATGCGGTGAGCTGACTAAAACTCATGGTGACAACACCATGAATTTTAGTCGGTGCGAGCCCACCCTTACCACCCATGCGAGGCAGGAGTGGGTAAGCATTTCTGTATGAAGAAAAAAATGTTTTATTAATGCCTTTATAAAACATATTTTTAAGTAACAAACACACTTGTAAGTAGAGTTAGGTACACCATACATTAGGATGTAAGGTAAATTATTTCGTGATGCTGGATAATTATTCATGTAACCAAAAACATTGATTTTTCCTTAAAAGTTATAATTATTTACACCAATAACTTTATTTTTATTCATTTTTTATCCTTAAGCCATGAACAACAAAATGGCTTTAAAGAGAACATTTGAAATCATTAAATTTGATTTAACCATACATTAGGATGTAAGGTAAATTATTTCGTGATGCTGGATAATTATTCATGTAACCAAAAACATTGATTTTTCCTTAAAAGTTATAATTATTTACACCAATAACTTTATTTTTATTCATTTTTTATCCTTAAGCCATGTACAACAAAATGGCTTTAAAGAGAACATTTAAAATCATTAAATTTGATTTAATAATTCAATTTAATAATATCCATAAAACGAAAACCCAAAATGTACATTTTGAGTTACATATTTTAGCTGAAATGAAAGGTGTATTTATATTTTATCACTCGTAGTAGTTTGGAGGTTAAATTTCATAGTACGTGAGAACTTTTGTGCTCGGTTTTTGCGAGCAGTTTTATGCTCTCAAGCAATAATAAAATTGATTAATAAATTGGTAAGGCCCGAGGATATCTGCAAATTGAAAAATAATATTTCAAGGATATGCGAATTCCGCCAACAAGCATTGTGGTAGCGCGGTAGACTTTTTCCGGACCTTTAAAATGTAAATTTTAATTTAAAATTCCCTCAGTAATGAGAGGAGGTATATACTCAGTAACGGGAAGTATACGGGTTGTTACTTTTATACCTTTTTAGACCAAAAATTGAAAACGACGCTTATGGATACTTACTTTGCGGCGACTACCAACATAAAATCTACAACGAAGAAAAGCCAGACGAAGTAAAATTCAAACACACCTGGTTCCGCATACCTTGCATTGGCAATACTTGGTACCCATGTACTGAATGGCAAAGTGGGTGGGATTGTCCCACTGAGGTATGAATTTTAATTTGTAGCAGCAACTTTAATCTGTAGCATTATTGAGTTTCACGATATTCACCGTAATTCGGTATAGTTTCGGTATATACTATGATATTGATTACTTATACCTTACCTTACCTTACCTTATACGCGAATACTGCAAATTGAAGAAGTGAATTACTAATTCAACTGACTTCTATTTAATAGCATTATTTTCCTCTAAAAATCTACATTGTTCTCTGAAACACTGTCAGCCACCATCAGCACGTCTGAAAAATACTATCTTAGCCACTATACTTGATGACCGTTTTTACCGTCTGGAAAAGAATAGAGTGTAGCATGTATACGAAGTAGAAGCCTATGGCGCTGATATTTTACAAAAAATAAAAACAAAATTTTTTAATTAAACGTTTGAATATTTTTTAACAATTACTTTGCCATTTGCCCTTGAGCCTGTGACCCTGCGAAGTGACAAGATAAAACATTCCTACTAAATTTTATTGCCGGTAAAGTAGGGTGGATATGATTTGAATTTCGATAGATTTTAATTAAAATATTTATTTAATTCACAACTTTGTTTTTAATTTTGTAAAATATCATCACTTCCACCGTTCACATGTTACACACTATTTTTTTCCAGACGGTAAAAAAGGTCATGCAGTATATCTTCGATGTAAGCTAATGTAGGTGCAACTCAGCATGTTGGTTATATTTTAGCATCTACATTTTTAAAATATATTTGTCGCAGGCTAGCAGAACTACCTTAACACTTAGCCTTTCAATTAACAGCCTAGCCTTTTTAGCCATATCGCTTAATAAAATTAATAAGGCGACCATGCCATGCCAAATTGGGTGCCGCGCTTGTTGACTTGGAAACTCAACCGGGTTGAAATGTCAAGGGAGAATCTGACATTGTTTCGATCAAATATTAGCAACTTAGTAAGAAGATTTATAACCACTGATGAAATTATTTGTTCGCTGGTCTGTGCCTAATGATGCGTTACGTGCTATATAATGTAAATGTACGAGGCTTTAGGGTGGCCCTACTGTCGCTGATATTACAAGATAGGTGCTATGTTGTATTAGACGCATCGGTTAAAAATATCATTAGTAGGACGATAGTAGTTACGAAAGTAGTTAGGACCATTTAGTAAAAAATCTCAGCTATTAACTAAAAAGCTAATTAAGCTGGTTGGCTGCATCATATTCAAGCAGTAAACTTTTTAAATTAGTTTGATGAGTTGTAAAATCTGTGGTAGTGTTAGTAAATTAGGTGGTGATGTATACTCGAAATCAGTGAGACAAGTAAAAATAATTGTTGTTATTTATTTGACGCTTTCTTTGGAATATTCAGTTGACATGTTAAAAAAGGCGAATTAATTTATTACAAGCTCTCTCATTTTTCCGTTGTTTATATATTAAATCAGAGGCTGATTTCCGTGGCCAAAAATCTGTGTCTTGACCTATAATTCCCCATTAAATAAAACTAATTTTATGGATTCCATCGCGTTTAGTTTATCTAACTAATTTTTAATACCACAAAGTTCCCCATTACCATGTGAATAAAAATAACCCTACAATAAGTGTAAGTGTGTGCTATTCAAGAAACTTTTGTGGAGGTAAAGTAGTAATAAAAAGTACTTTAATTAATTTTATTTTGTTTTAGGTGACTTTGCCACCAACAGTGCCGGCAAGAACCACCTTTACAAATTTTATGCTTTCAAACAAGCTCGAAATACCTATGTATTTCAAGTTCCAAGCGCCGTTTAAAACGTAAGATTATTGTAAAATTATTTATAAGTAATACTACGTAGTACTATTATTTATTCTGTGGTAATACTATTGTCCTTAAATTATGATAAATTTTGTTTTAGGAATTTCGTACTCATGCCAATGTGCGGTATCGTACAAGGGCGTGGATGGCAAATAATATCGGTGGCACTGGAGCCAAAGTCTTTTGGAGAATATTTCGAATCATGGGACCTAATGATAAATAGAGATCATAAGGTATGCATTACATAAAACAATATTTTAATGTACAGAACGCTCTTGACCATGCGACGTTAAAGCAGCTCTTGCTATCGTTCTTGAAAACATTTTTTATCTGTTTTAGGTATTTTTTTAAAAACGTTACCTCCACACTAAGATTTTCTCCTGTATCGTAGGGACAGTTTACATACACAAATTTCACAAGAACAATCATCCAGACCTGGAACGATTATTTGTAGTGCGGGATTCGAACCCGCGGCCCTTAGCGCTGCAACTCCAGCCATTCCGCCGACGAGCCGTCTTCATAATTATTAGGTAACGACGGTTCTATAACGCAACAAAACTCCTTGCTCATATTCTAAAGACTGGTGACGGAAAGCAGCATAACCAGTACAGGTATAATTGCCTCGTTTGTCTTGTGCTTATTGGGTTTTTCTGTCAAAAATTTACCAGCATCAGCCCGAAGTCGTGAAGTTGGCCATGTTTCAGACCGTGTTTAGAAAAGGCCATAGGTCCTGCGCCTGATATTTTTCCGGATTTTCAGAGTACTGTCTCAACGGACTATGAGAGTAAGGGAATAGAAAATGAACGTGTGCTTGCATTCACACTATAAAATCTCCTTTCTTCGGTGAAGGCTAGTCTCTTTTGAGACTGACTGAAATTCGGTCTGGAGGACATTAAGCAAAGCGAGGTTCTCTACTATTCGCTTACCAGCCCATCAGTTCGGTGTAGAGACTACAGGCAACTCTTTTAAAAACATCAGGATATTTGTTGTCGTGATCGTTGATAAAGATATTTCTAAGCATTAACTATGGTCTTTAAAGTTTACGCAAATCCCTATCCCTATAACTATTGCATGCCTTCTACTAGCGCAGGAATCCAACGTTTTGTCACACGAAATCGTATCTAACAATCATATTAAATATACAAATGATATAAAAGCACATTGTCAGAAAGATTAAAGATTAGAAGGGGTAAACACGATAACTTTTGAAAATATCAATTGTTCAACTTAATCTATTTTTTAATATCTTCATCTATCATGTGGGACGTCATGGAATATAAATGAATGTAAAAATTTTTTTAGTTGTAATTAATTTTTTTCGGGGTCAGAAATTCCGAAAGTTTCGGTGTTTGAGTAGCTTTATAATAATATATTTTACTAAATACTGATAAACTGACTCACTGCGGGCTCGACCGCCATCGTGAGTGGGTAACTGTATCGTTTGTTTACAGCGGCTCGTGATGAAAAATATCGGTCGCTGTAGAAATACAAAATATTCAAAAAACCAAATTTGATACATTCTTGACCAAGGTAAGATATTATTATTATGTTTATAATCACAGATTTTCATTACAATATATTGTTTCGTTAAAAGTACGTAAGATTTATATATAAATATACTTAATACATCTTGGCTTTTATGGAGTGATCTGAAGATGTACTTTGGTGAATGCTAAATTAAAATATTGGTTATGACTATATGAAAAAGTTTTTGAAAATGAAAAAAAATTGATGAGAAAAAAGTAACGAGTCAGGTAAAAAATACTAGTTTTTACGATAATGCGAATACAAATACCTAAAAATTAAAGTAATATCAAAGTCAATTTCTGATCGTTTTAAGATAATTCCGTTAAAAGTTTTTTCAGTTAACAATATTAAAGAATTTTTGAATCTAAATAACATTAACATAGTAAAATTAAAAAAAAAAATATTTTCTATTGTTGATTGAGAATTTTGTCTACATTTTTTCACGATCATATGAGCGTTAGGAGTCGTGCACTTTTGGATTTTCCAAACTTTTTTATTGACGTTTGACATAAAATTATCGGAAAATCGAAAGTGATAGTAATAAGGTTATTTGTGAAAACTTGCGTTTATTTAAAATACTTTAAAAATTGACGTATAACATCAGCGCTTAAAGCATGCACATATGAATTTACCAAAAGTTTTTATTTTAATTTGTCTGCGACATTTTACATTAAGAATATTCAGTGCAAAATTGAAAAGACGCAAGTACTAAAAATTAATTTAAATGTGAAGACTCGAGTCGTCCTAAGCGGTAATGCTGAAGTGAGTCAAATTGAAGTGATGTCCCAAGGATACAACCCAGCTGTCCATGCTATGTACGAGTTCCCGCCTACAGTCACCGGATGTACCAACTATTGCACTGCTTACATCCATAATCTGACGCGAATGCAAATACAGTAAGTAAACTCCTCAGTAAATGGTAAAGTACTTTACATAATTCTATAAAATCATTGTGGTTATTCGATTTAGTCCACTTTACCACTCAAAAAAATACATAATTTTTAACTTGAAGTTACCAGACGAAAGGAAATATGACAATATGGTACCAGTATTGTAAAAAAGGTGACGCTCATAATGTTATGAACTAACGTCTCGCGTTTTTGCTCTCGTTGTTTGCAATTATTTTTAAACAATTGAAGATCCCTATAGTAACATCCAATCCGCAGTATTGTCCTTAAAGCTTAGCAACATGGATATTGCTGTGAGAAGACTACAATAAATTATTGATTCTAAAGTACAAACCAATGCCCTGTGTCATTGATTTTCGTAACGCATAGGGCAAAGTAGACCAAAATGTTTGCTTCAAAAACTGTCTAATTATGGCGTGCATTATAATTGTTTTTAATAAAATCTATGGACGGGATAAAATTTTTTATTAGTTTACCTATTTTAGTAGTTTTTTTTAGTTTAGCTATCGATAAATTATACCGTTACGTCTGATGTTCCCACAGGGCCAATATTTGGGGTCTATTTTATTTTTAGCTTACTGTCTCTTTTGTCAAGACAAGAATAATTACTAAATAGGCACTTTTAAAGATAAGCCAGTGCGTTTTACCATCATTGGCTACATTACCACTAACCATGAGGAGGAATTAGTAGTAAAGTCGAGTCTTGAAACGACAGTAGCCTAATGGCAGGGCGCGGACCGCGAACTCAAAAAGGTCGTGGGTTCGAATCCGCCATTCGACTACCAGCGTGAACCACTCGTAACACAAGCAATTTAAGCTTACCACGAGTGGTTAAGGGGAATATTAGTAATGTTTATAGCATTGTTAATATTCTTTTTTTTTTAACCTGTGACTTTGAAAAGATGAAAAGTCAACACGATTTGCGGTGTGGAATAGTTGCGCAGTTCGTGGTATGTGGTCATTAATCTTCATCACTATTGGTATTTTTATAGCATGAGGATTCTAAACACCGTGGATTGGCTCGGAGCAGACAATAGTGGAACTATTGTACTACCACCCAGAGAAATATTGCGATACCACTGGTGGTTTTTTCCTCGGGAGGCAGGAAAAGTCTATAGCACTACTATATGTTGCTCATGCATCTGTCTCATAAATGGCAGGTATAAACTTTTATTCCTTACTATATATTTTCGCGGGACAATTTATGATCATTAAATCCTTTAATAATTTTAAATACATCCTGTGTACCTACTATTTATTATCAGTGTTACCAAAATTAAAAATATCAATGGTTTGTACATTTTGTTTCATTAAATGTCAAGATATTAATGAGGTTTCGCTTATTCTTAAAGTGCTATATTATTTATTAGTCCATAATTATGAACATGATGTTTTTTGTAGATCGTTTATATTTGTATGTTTTAGGCCAATCGGTGAGCCAACAGAAGTATTTATTAATATATCTGGATTTTCGGAACTACCAGACTTAAGGGTTGGTATATTCTTTATTACTTTTTGACAAATTTGTGGAACATTTTGTGTTTCGAAGGCAAATGCAAAGAAACTTTAAAAATTTTAATAATTAACTATCGCGAACAGTTACCGTTATAGTGCCAGCGCAAGAATATCCACTACTCCGTATCATCTCGTGGGAGTCGTAAGGTGTGACAGTAGTGGGTTTGTACCAGTTCTGGTTCAGAACAAACTAGCCCTCTTCGGCTGCTGGTGGGTCGACGGATCCTAAAAAAAAGGTTTTGGCAGTACCTAGGTACCACATAACCAAGTAATTAATGATAATACTACTAGGTACTAGTACTTCTAATATGTCTTACCAGGTCGTCACTCCATCTAGTGGGCCGTCACCTTACACTTCGTCTGCCGGTACGAGCAGTAGTATTAATAAGTTTACTGTTTACTGTTATCGTTACCGCCCATAAAAGTCCACTGTTGAACGTAGGCCTCCCCCTTAGATTGCCTCATAGGGGGAATATTTGCCATAGTTGCCACGCTTGGCAATCGGGTTGGAAATCACAGTTTTTTTTATTTTTAGTTGTTATTAGGAAGACGCTGCTACCATCTCCTGATCTGTTTCTTTTCGTCGCCAATAGTGCGTTTATACCAGTTCTGGCTCACGAGCCAAAACTGGAACAAACTACCCCTCGTCGGCTACTGGTGGGTAGACAGATACTAAAAAAAAATTTTGGCATGCTCTGACCACGAATTCTTTTTTTGTATAGTATGCACGGTTCCGAAGATGTGCAGATCAATTAACTAATATCTAATTGATATCCTGTGAGTGCACCCTCATTAGCGTTCTATAAATAGCGTTTCCATAGTTAACATGCTTTGAACTTAGTGAGGAGCCTACTAATTATTGGTGACGTCAAAGCAGGCACAGAGTAGCTAGTGTCCCAGTGTGTATTCTACAAGACCAGGTTTGAAGAGTTTACGAATCAATTGTAAGGCAGTTCAACATCATTTTATTCTCATCATAGCACACATTTGAGCTAAAAGTTTTACTTCACTGTTCGTGATTCCCACAGCAAAGATTAGTTTTTTTTTTATATCCAATAACAACCTAACCAATGAGGGTTTGGCATTCGAGTGATAGCGAGATAAATACGTCTATAAACACCTAACTGAAATTTCCAAGACCGATTGGGAACAAATTCACCAGTGCGAAAATATCGGGTCATTAACCCGCAATGCCCGGCGTGGTGAGGCCGCAGTCCAATAGACTCAAAAAAAAACTGTTTATAACATAACTTGAATGACACATGAAATATTAATTTTATTGTCATCCATACATCCATTACAACATATAAAATCCCCTGCTGAACATAGGCCTTCCCCATAGACTGCCTTATATGAATTTTGCCACATTTGCCACGCGTGGCTGGTGGGTTAGCAACCGGAGATTTTCATTAGGACTTGATATCAACAAAATGCTGCTGACTATCTTTTTTTTCAGTTTTCTTCTGTCGACTCTTACGACACCAACTGGTCGATAAGGGGTAGTAGATATTTTCACACCAACACTACATGGTTGCAAATTATTATATGTATGTCTCTTGTAATTTTTTTTCTTGAAGGTCCTTCCGAAGACAATGAATCTTCACAATGCGGTTGTGGGCGAAAGCGTTACTTTTACGGTCACGTTGTATAATTATGGAACGTGTTTCTTCACGTCTAAGCTATACCATGATATTGATGGCATGGGCGATGACTTTACCGGCGATAAGTTTGATATAGACTCTGCAATTGTAAGTGAATAGTAGTTATGTAAAGATAACTTAGATTAGAAATAGCACTGATAACCTTCAACTAAAGATTGCATGAAGCAAATTCGAATCGGCTATGTCGTAAGATATTTGTTTGTTTTATAAAGAAAAAGAAAGTATTAAAGTACAAAGGAGTTTTAAAATTTAAAAAAAATTAATCCGGAAAAAAGATATTTAGACTAGGTATGTAGGTTTAATGATTTTAGGTCCATATGTATGTGGGTTTATAATTATATGTGTTCTCTTACAATAAGTTAAGTATATTTCTTTGTTGGTCGGAGGTCTCTAAAAATACATTCAGTTTTATTCAAATCTCAAATTTCTAATACAGAACTGCCTTAAGCCATCAAACTACTGCGAAGTGAAAATGACATTGATACCATACGGCGCGGGTCCACGTCAAGTTGACATTAAATATACGGTATTGTACCGTTCTGCATACGATGAAGTGGAGGAAATTCAACCAGTCGGGAAATCCATATGCACTGTTTGGTATGACGGCATCTATCCTACGCTTAAGGTCAGTACAAATGAAATGCTATATCTAGCAAAATTAAATGTATTTGGTAACTTAAAAATAACAAAAAAAGCAAAAAGAACCAATACGATACCAATCCAAAGGACATAGGTACATGTTAAACTGCTAGTTCAGCTACCGAAGAATTATTATAGTAGTGGACAATAACCTTGGACAGATACCTCGGAGCTCTAAGCAGGTGCTGCAATTCTACTTTAGAACGATGATGATTTCTGAGGCTCGCTGACACTACTAATCGATCATCCATCTCAGATGTCTTTCTTCTGCGACCTGATCTAGGTCTTCTGATGTAACCACCGGTCTTCAGATACCTTTTGTAGACATATTGAATCATAGATCGACTTATTTCACTTTGTAGAGCGTCATTTCGCTGGCTCATTCCAGTTTGTAACAACATTACGATTCTGTCTACTTTTGCTTTGCGTAGATATTTTTTAATAGAAGAGGGGGCAAACGAGCATGCGGCTCACCTGATGGTTAGTGACTACCGCCGCCCATGATCAACCGCAACACCAGGGGAATTGCAGGTGCGTTGCCGGCCTTTTAGAAAGGAGTAAGCTGTTTTCTTGAAGGTCCCTAAGTCGTATCGGTCCTGAAAAATCGCCGGTTATAAACAATTCCACAGAGAAGCCGATTATGAGGAAGAAAACTTCTAGTAAAACGCACAGTGGTGGACCGCCAAGCATCCAGATGGTGAGGATGGTATCTTGAGTTTTGACGCGATGTGCGTTCGTGAAATTTGGCGGCTGGAACTAATCCGATTTAGATCCATATTTATCAGTGAAAAGGAAATGGGAGACACAGAACTTAATCAGTGATACGAATTTAATAATAGTTTTAAATAGCGTTCTAGCGACAGGACATAAAAGAATAAAAGTGTGGGTACCTAAAAAACTGATGACATTTGACACACTTACACTTGATAATTTTATCAATATACCCTCTACTGAGATTGCAAAAGAACCTTCAAAAACGTATTATTCATTTTAATTTTTAAACAGACCCCAATTAATGAATAAACCGTAAAAAAAGGAGTGGCCTAATTTAATTGTCCACCAATATGTTGAATTAGTTAGTTATATCTATATATTATTTTAAAGCAAATTTAGTTCAATTTTTTCTTTTGGTCGCGCCGCGTCGCTTCGGGGAAAAACCATAGGTATTGTCTGCAAATACCGGGTCAACCACTACCCTCAAAACACTCCACTGGAAAACACACACCAGCGTCGATAATACGACACGTGTTTCGCCTCTAATTTAATTAATTTAGTTAATGGTTAGATAGTTGGGATTAGTGGTGACGGGGACAGTGCATGCAATTGACGGAGGGCTCTTTAAACTAGGTAAGAAAAATCATTTTAATTTTTAACACGGATCTTAGATAATTAATTATTACAAGCAGACCTGCAGATTAATTAGTTTTGCACATTCTTTTACTCTAGCTGGGATGAAATCTTAAGGTTACTCAGTGATCGGATCCACTAAACGACACGGTCGTCAAAGAGATCATAAAATAGAATAACATGATTTTGTCGTGTAGCGGCAGTGTAAAAGAACCTACTCGTACAACCACATATTATCTCGTAGGTGTCGTAAGTGGCGACAGAGTGAAACTGATGCACGAAATGAACAGCAGTATCTTCCTGATATCAGCTCAAAACTATTAAAAAAATTGCAATTGCCAACCCATCCGCCGAGCGTAGCAACTATGACAAATACGCCTTCTATGTGGCAACCCATAATGGCGGCCTATGCTCACCAATATACTCCTGATCACAGAACACTATTACTTCTGATGGAGTATAATTAATGAATAAAAATATATATTATGTTAATGAATTTTAAGCATAGTTACAATTTTAGATAAAACGCACAATTTCCGTCAAATGCCCAATAATTCTCAGCAATCATTGTGTATGGAACATTGTTAACGTGGACGAGTAAGTTACTTTTCTTCGTCTAATATTGTGTTGTATTGCGCGTGAATCGTTATAGCCGATGTAATACACTTCGACAAATACAATAACGAGTTTAGTTACAGGGCAGTTGACAGTAAACGGTTAAGTCACACACCACTAAGAGGATTAAGTGGACAGTAGCTTTCAAATGTATTCGTGGAGAGTTTAGTTGAAAAAAGTACAATTTTCCATTTTGAGGACCGAACGCGAACACGTTGCGTCCTGTCGACTTAAAACGATTAAAATCTTTGCACTGACTGAAATAAACTCACTCGTTCATACGAGCGGCGAGTTGAGAAACACTTCGAACTTAACTCGCCGAAAAATAGACCGGTCGTCTATCTCGTTCAACTTAATTGTTAACTTGCTACTTAACTCGCTAACTGTCGTTCAAACTAGATTTTCTACTTAACTCACCAGGTTCGCAAATTATCTTACGCTACTGTACTTGTCGAAGTGTAAATCTGTCTTTAGTCACTGACAAAATAGCAGTCCTGTACTTTGGTGAGGCGTGTGCGTGTGATGGTTGCGTGAGGGAATCCATCACTGCATTATTCGTAAAATGTTAAAGCGCTAGTAGCCTAAAGATTAAATGGGTTTAGACTGCAAACTCGATAACTCGAACCACTCCTAACACATTCAATATAAGCTTACTTGGAGTAGTTAACAGGAGTATAGCGTTACTAGTTTTCTTCTTTAAAATAATGAAATAAAAAAATTCACATCTTGGTAGGGTAGTACCTAAACGTTTGGCTACGGTACGGAATCTCACAGGGAACAAGTATTTGTATGACCTACAATTTATTGTTAAAGGTCTGTATGTTTGTCAATATGCTTTTTGTGTTTGAAAAACGTTACTGGAAAAATTACTTTTTTTCACACTGTCCACCTGGTGATAAGAATCAAAATGCACATGCGTTGGCATCTATAAGGACTAATATAAAATTCCTCGTTTCCAGTAAAAAGGGTCTCAGTTCTCTACACTCATCATATGAAACACAACAGCATTATGCTGATATTTGCTGGTTGCTGCTATTATGCTGTATTTCTGTAAGCACGTGGTACTTCCCCGGCCGTGCCGGCCGATTCGCGCTGTAACCATATCGTAGCTGCAGCATAGCTCTTCCACGTATAAGCATGACTCTACTCGTATAAATTACGATACATTTAATGAAAATAATCCACCCGAGGTTCTTTTAAGAAGTGACTACGGGAAAGGCCAAAAAGGCTAAATTACCCCCAAGACTAATCTTATAGATGTTAGATCTAAAGTATCCAGACTGGTGACTGAGAGGATCGTCAAAGGTGCCAGACGCCTGATACTGCATGCACCAATTCATTTGCCAAGCATGTCAAATACAGCAAATCCTTCCTCTGGATAGATCCCCGTGTTATGAAATAGATCCATGTTCATAGCAGCGGACTACGGTTATGAAGGTTTTGTTGCTCGTGGCGTCATTTCTGCGGTATTTCGAATCCGATAATATAAAACCCGCTACACACGTAACGATATATCGTAGCGATATCAGACTGTGCAGATAAAACACACGCTACCGATATCGGCGTTGATCATCAGTTCTCCGCAGAAGCTCGCGCATGAAACGTGTCATCCACGCTAGAAGATGACGACGCACTTGCGTTGTTAGGCCTGATTATGTGTTTAAAGAAAGAAAAAGTCTTTGTATTTTTCGCGCAGCCCATTGTAGGCGGCAATTTTTTTTATTAATCCTTTGATTTTGTCTTCCAAAGGCAAGTTTCTATAAACACTTTTTGTTGGTCGCTGTGTTAACTTCTTTCTTCTTTCGATAAGTTGCAAAGAGTGCAGTGCTCTTTACAAGCGTGCTCCGTCACGAACTGCCGAACTGAGCGGCCGCCATCCACACGCGACCTCAAGACTGCAAACGCACTCGACAACGATTTATCTAATAGAATTTGCAACTGCCACCGATGAACGATAGTCTGCAACGGTTTGTCATACACACGATCGGTAAATCTGTGCAAATCGGTTTGCACGAATTAATCACAACGATATATCGTTAAACTAGCTTGCCAGGCAGACGTTGTTCTGCCCTTTTCGACGACCCTTTGTCATGTCCTATTAAAATTCCTTAAATTCGTAAAAAAAACGTGGGTATATTATGGGCAAAACAACTATCCTATCTCTCAAGTTGGACCATACTGCACACGGTGTGCAAATTTTAATAAAATTGGTTGAGTAGTTTAGGAGTCCATCGCGGACAAACAACGTGACACGTAATTTATGTATAATACTAGCTTGCCAGGCAGACGTTGTTCTGCCCTTTTCGACGACCTTTTGTCATGTCCTATTAAAAATCCTTTAATTGGTAAAAAAAATTATGGGTCACTCATGGAAAAAAAAATATCCCAACTCTCAAGTTAAACCAAACTGCATACGGTGTGCAAATTTGATTAAAATCGGTTTAGTATTTTAGGAGTCCATCGCGGACAAACAACGTGACACGTAATTTATATATATTAAGATATATTAAGATGTGTAGCAGGCATAAGATGCATTTCTATTGCTGCAAATCAAAGTATATATATCACAACTGTTCTGTTTTCATTAATTCATCTCGTGGTTTCATCGTTCTCGTTCTCGACATTCTTTCAATTAGTGAGGTGTTTTCTGGCTTGGGTTACAATTCTTTTATAATTTTAGGTTCAATAAAGCTTTAATGGATGTTAGACCAAACAGCCCGCTAAATGTAAATCTTTACGCCCCTGATCTTTGTGTTAGATCAAGCCAAGTGGAATTTGTACTTGTATTGGGTTGCGTGTACGCTGTGGCCGTGCCATGGAATATGCGTAGGAAGAAGATCTGTGACTGCGCTATGGTCGTAATTCAGACTGGTATATCAACATACGAGAAAAGGCATACATGTGTACATAGAAGCTTCGTCGAATTGTCTCCAAATAGCGGGATAGCTGCGGTAAATATGTTTAAATTTTATAATTATTTTGTAAAAATAATCACACATTAGGTATTTCTTATAGAACTTTTTATAAACTAGCACATGATCAAACTAGTGTTATTGCAAATTTTAGTAAAAATCCTTAAAGCCATGTGTACATTATAGTTATATTATCTTCTGACAAAGATGCCTGGTATTTAAGTAGATAGGTATTTAAGTAGAGTTTTACATCAACAGACTTCAACAGACCAATGCGCAAACAGACATGCAGTACTTGATAGATTTGCTCAGATTGGCTCACCACGCTCAGGCTAGTAACGCTGCTCCCAAACGACTCAGAACTTTAATCAGCACAAAGCACGCGTGCAGATGAAGTTGGCACTAGGAGACAAAATATTGGCATTGCTCCGTTTTGCGACACCATAATATATTACTTGCCTGGATAGTTTTAGTTATTACATTTACAGTAAATACGTATTATGCTTCTACGAATAATATATTTTGATCTTCTTATTTATTATCTTGTATTACGAGGGCGACGCTGAAAGTTTTTAGAACTGGCCACTTGTAAACGCTATATTAAAAAAAAATAGTTGAAAATTTAATTCTTTGCCTCTTTGCCAATATTATTGTGTACTACTCTCGTGCGGCTAAAGAATGAGGCTGAAAATGACGTCACCTCTATTTATCTCTCGCTCACACACTGTCGCTATCTATACTCACACTCGTCGGTATAGACTACAAAAACAATATGTTTCGATATGCGATTTTTGTACGTGTTGAAACTTTAGTCCGAATTGCAATGATTTCAAAAGGAAGGATAGGCCCATCTAAATATTTTACTCCTAACTTTATCATACAAGAAAAAGTAGCGCATCTGTCATAATACAAACGTCATATCATAAAACCAGGTCGGATTTCGTAGCGTAATAATCCTAACTGTACCATTATTTCATAGTATCGTAATAATACTAAGCAAAAATACCATAATTTTACCTAAAGGTCGACTTATTATTATTGGGTCCTTTTACTTTTTAATATTAACCTTACGATATCGAGAATTTCTGTATTACACATGAGTACCGCGTTTCCTTTCTGTTCAATCGGTGCTCGATGGATGCATTTATGTTCCAACCTTGATACAACTATAATGAGAGGCTACCACGATAACAGCTCTGTGCTTATATTCCAGAAGGAATCAGTTTGAAAACATAATTTCAAAATATTTTATGAATTAGATTTTCAGATTCAATTAAGAAGATATGGTTTCTTTTGTATTCTTTTTTTTGTTTTACCCTTATTTTATATAAAATATATTAGCTACCAATATTCAAAATTTAATTAACACTAAGTTCTTTAGACAAAAATTAAACGGAGATAAAAATAAAACCGCCAAAAAAACGGAACGTATAGATAAACTAGACGCGTGGCGCCAAAATTCCGGCACATGGGAAAAAAAGAAACATGAAACGTCAAACGTAATATAATTTTACGTATTATAATTTTTGAAAAATGGTATAGTTTTAATTTTCCATGTACAATATTTTTGAGGGTCTGAATCCAACCCTGGCCTAATGTTGGTAACGTATTTAAACTAACTGTAAAATAAAACTTTAAAAATCCGTTTATAAAATAATTTAACTGTAACAAAATTACCGATGATTCGATATCCCATGTTCCTTTTTAATTTTTGTATCATAATTTTTGCATCCTTTTACCACTCAACTAGACATATTTATGACAGGCAAATCGCGTTGCCCCTAAATTGTCGTTTTAGGACCAACGCACTGGTCCAATTTAGTAGTGCGGTCGGACCGGTCCTTACGCTATGGTTCATAAAAGATAGCTTGATCTCTGCGACAGCTGTCAGTAAAAATCACGCCTATGAAGTCCTGAATTTCTTAGTAGTACAGACAGTACCTGTCAATGTCATACTTTATGGGCATTCACTAATTAGGTCGGCATAGGCGTGATTTTACTGACTGCTGTCGCAGAGATCAAGATATCTTTTATGAACTATAGTAATGTATAAGTCAATGCCGAATTGTCATTGGCATAAATGGAAACCAAATACCATAAACTAAAAAAATTAATACACGGAATTTAGTTTTCAAATATTTACAATTACGTAAAAAAATAAATGTCTATAGAGTTTCTTGTCTGTCTAACCTATTTGAAATATTTTACGAGATTAACTGTTATTTAAATTAATATAAATCGAATTTAAGAAATACATTATTTTATTATAGAGTTTTCGTGAATAATTTACTGATAAATAATTCAATTTTATCCAAACGAAGCCAGAGCGGATCACTGTTATAAATGGTATTTTAAAATTGATGTGTCTACTTGTGTATATAATTCTATTTAAATATTTTCCCATTAATAGAAAATGTACAAATTAACCGAATAATATAACTAACGTTTTAATTTAAAAAAAATTACGATATACCGCTATTAGCGGGCTTTCGTTATTTGTATAGTGCGTGTTGACGGTACGGGCTCGATGAGCTATGAGATGAGATGATGATAATATTGTTACGAGCTTGAGGTTCGTGACAATAAAAATTGCCGATAAAATTACCTAAATTAACACTTTAATTTACTTTACACAAATTAAAACTTAAAACACTAATAATTAAACACACTAATTCACTTTATTCCGCTCCGAAGCTTCGCTTGTCTCGCCAAATCCAATACTGCCCCGATCGCATCCTGCAGCGCCTATATATACAAATTAGCAATGAAGCATCCGGAATATTCAAGTAAATGCGCGCAAAGCGATGAGTGTTCGAGTATAGATTTTCTAGAAACTTAGTTCGTCTGATGGCGCTGTCGGTTGAAAGATTTGTGATGTCATTTTCTGCAAAGCTCCCCCTCGCTCTCGTTCCTGACACTAGATGGCGCTAGTGTATCGTCGACTTGAGCGCGTAACACTGCCCCCTCCTAAGACATGCTCGTCCCGAGCATTATCGGCCAACGTAACGCGCCAAGCGATCCACATGGACGATCTTAGGAGTCCCCTTTGCGCCTTTCTGTAACGGCTCCGCAATGCCAAGGGATGTCCTATCCCGTGGTGTAACAATATAATTCCATTCTTTATCCGTACCGGCTATACGTATTTTATTAATTTGTCATGTACATATTACTTCAATAATGATTTCTAAATTAACGCGAACACTACACATTGAATAAAACTATTATTTACAGATTTTATTGCGTTTAATTATTACTTTAATTTATTTTTATTATCCCGACGTTTCGGGTGCTTTACAGCACCCATGGTCACGGAGGGGACTGAGATGTTTGACGTCCCAATGTCATAGTTAGTCTGGCTACCTTCAGTTTTTGAATATTAAATAATTTTTTGGTCCGATTTACGCAAAACGAGCTTATAGTATTATGAAGTCTTGCAGTGGTATGCTTGGGTTTGGGTTTAACTTTGTTAATTATAGAATTCCAAGCAGATGGCAGCACCCATCTATCTTCTCTATTGAAATTTGGATGTTTTTTTTAATTTCAATAGCCTCGCGTATCATCCTTGGTATGAATCGGTGTTCTTTTGCGAGGATTTGTGGTTTATCAAATCTAATGTAATGGTGGGGACGATCTTGAACATGTTCGCAGACTGCAGACTTCCCGGAGCGTCGGTGCTTCACGTTAGCTATATGTTCCTTCACGCGGGTTTTTATAGATCTTTTTGTTTGACCTATATAAGAGAGACCAAATTCACAATCTAGCTTGTACATACCTGCATCTTGAAAAGGAAATTTCTTCTAAACTTCCTCTGTTCGCATTTCTTTGTCCTAAAACCTTCTCAAAAATGAGGGGAGACCTGTGCCTAGTGGCACATATACAACACGTACCTAACATAATTAACGCACTTTGAGAAAATAGTTTGTTCAGAATCGTTTACTGAATCGATTCCTATCATTTTTAATATAGGTAATTTTTATCCCAAAAATAATTAAAACTACGTAAATTACAGTCACGCTAAATTAGTACAGTCAAAACAAACTGAAATGGACCGTAACTTAAGGCAATAAGACTTTAAGAGTGCAGTTTTATTTATATTATTACTAATTCTGTCATTCAATAATAATAAAGAAAAATGAACTTTATTTAAAGCACGTTAAAGTCTTTGCGTTCGTGGATTTGTACTGTGACCACAACATTCTTCCGGAATTAGTATAACTAATTTGATAAATAATCAGTGCATAAAAATGTTTAACTAAAAATTCAGTGTATGTATTATGATTATAACATAATATACTAATTGGGGTGTCTGAGGGTGTGCGTTAATTACGTTACATATTGTATATAGGATGTGAGCTTGCGCGTGTGTTACGCCCTCTACCGAAACATAGCAATACTACGCTGAATATTTAGGAAAATATTTTAGCTTTAGTTTTAGGCACGTCGTCAACCACTAACATATTGGTAAATAAATAGTGACGTTACTGGATAACAGAGGGCGCTTATTACAATAATAATAAATGTTCTAGATCTGGAAGAATCTACTAGAAATAATAAAATTTAAAGATTATTTGGTAAATATACATTATTCTTACGATAATAAACCGAAATCACTTTCATTTTATCTCCATATCGTGACTTAAAATAATTTTATGCACAACTGAGCATATTTTCTTTATAAATTTATGAAACGAATGCGCCCTTTTGAAGATGTCACTAAGACTAAATGACAAAATCGGAGATATATCCTATAGGACAAAAGTTACAGACGACAATTTTGTTGCTGATGTCCGGTCTATTACCACCACTTAAATGTCTTTGGTTTTTTACAACGATCGCCGGTCTAATTGCTAAACGTGGTAGTTACGGCAATTTTTCCTGTAACGTGAAAGGTCCATGTGCTGCAATGGATTCCTACAGAATGACATCAAAAAAAATTAATATAACTAAAATTGAAAAATTTCAATTCAATTTAAAATTTTCAGCCGAACAACCCTAATTTACTTTCTTTAAAATTTAACTACGGTTACCGAGGACTTAATACTTTGTGCTATATTATGACGATGCCAAATCAAAGGATTCTAAACATTTATATAAATGTGTATGCACACCTTGACAGTAAAGGTGTGCTCACACCGCTTCGACCGCCTAGTACTGAAGACTATTTGGCCATTTTAGACTGTGGACGGGTACCGATAAACAACTTGAATCCTGTTTTAAGGGTAATTTGTTTATTCTATTTATTACTGATATTTCACGTATTATCATCACTTGCTTGTAAATGTAAATTTAACAGCCATAGTATTATAGTAATATATGATAATAGCTTGATAAGCTTTTACTATAGAATACTGTAATATGCACATTATACTGGATGGCCTTGTTGACGGTCTGGAAAAAAGATAACATGTGAACGGAGTAGAAGCCTATGACACTGATATTTTGCAAAAGATAAAAACAAAAATTTTGAATTAAATAAATAAATAAATTAAAATCTATCGATATTCAAATCATATCCACCCTACTTTACGTACGACAATAAAACAATAAATTTAGTAGGCATATTTGACCTTGTCACTTCGCAGGGTCACAGGCTCAAGGGCATAGGGCAAAGTAATTTTCAAAAAAATTTTTCAAACGTTTAATTCAAAATTTTGTTTTTATTTTTTGTAAAATATTTGTGCCATAGACTTCTACTCCTTCAACCCCCCTCTTTTAAAAAAACGTCGTATTATCACTACAGCTACTACAAACCAGATTCGTTGTGTTCACAGACTGAGTAAGTTTACACATTTTAGACTTTTGATCAATGTTCAAGATCATCATTAAAAAAATTCGTTTAAATTTTAATACGTATTTATTTGCAAAAGTGTGCAATTTGGCATTTTCTAAATAATTTGCATGCGAAATTTGGAAACGATGGTAACGTCAAAACCCATCTCGTGTTGATAGTGATACGTGTGAATTGACATGTTAGTGACATTTTAGTGGCTACACGGGTTCCGCCCACTCTCCCGTTCTATTATGTATGTATTATATTATTCTATGCACTACCCCGTATCATCCCGTGGATGTCGCTCTTCATGGTCTTCTTGATAATTGATAACAACTGAAACTAATAAAAAACTGCGGTTGCTAACCTGCCTATCAAGTGTGTCAACTATGACAAAACCCCCCCTCTAAAGCCATCAAGGGGGCAGCCAGTAGTAGCAGCAGTAGTAATCAGGAATGAATGAATATAAATTGAAACTTGGTTATACATCTAACTAATTAACGCAGATGGTATCTAAAGTCGCAGAAATTCAATAAGATATGTACGTACTTGAAATGTACGTACATATCTTATTGAATTACATATGCTCGTATGCTCCGTCCTCTATTCATTCCACATTAATGCGAAGCATTTTTAGGGTTCCGTAGTCAACTAGGAACCCTTATAGTTTCGCCATGTCTGTCTGTCCGTCTGTCCGTCCTCGCTTAATCTCTGTGACCGTTAGCATCAGAAAACTGAAATTTGGTACCAGTATGTGTATCAATCACGCCGAAAAAGTGGTAAAATAAAAATTGGAAAAATATGTTTTATTAGGGTAGCCCCCCCTATATGTAAAGAGAATTTCAACCCTAACGTGTGATATATTGTTGGAAAGGTATTTAAAAATGAATAGGGGTTTACTACAATAATTTTTTGATAATGTCAATAATTTCGGAAATAATCGCTCCAAAAGTAAAAAACAATGTGTCCCCCCCCTCTAACTTTTGAACCATAAGTTTAGAAAATATGAAAAAATCTGAAAAGTAGAACTTTATAAGGACTTTCTAGGAAAATCATTTTGAACTTGGATGGAAACAACAGTACCCACTACTGAGAGCAGTTGCAGGAGCGCGGAGCGCTGCTGGAGCGCGAACATAATGGATACCCACCTTTAAACTCATAAGTGGGAACACTTATTGTAACGGACGGGAAACTACGGAACACTACACTGAGCGTAGCCCGACACGCTCTTGGCCGGTTTTTAATTTCTCAGGCATGCAAGTTTTCACGCGACATGCTCCTTTACTTCTCTAGTATATGAACAGTAATCTATGCCGCTGTGCCTTTGATTACATACATACATGTGATCCAAGCCGCTATGTATGTGTTAATCAATTAACAATTTCCGGTGTGTAGACATGAAATGACAATGAAAGCGTTACCCTCAATTTTTAAATTTTTGTAAATGAAAAGGAGTAGAAAAGCAACTGATGTTGATGATTTTGGAACTAAGAACGGAATATGTCTAACATCAAAATGTCAATGGCAATGGCCGGGGCGGGCGCTAGTTTTTTGAACTGCTCCATCTTGTTTATTTTTTTTCTTAACAACACGTATTGGTCATGAGCTGTGATCATCCTGATAATTATTTTATTTTATCCTGGTGAACCTAATCACGATAATAAGTTAAAGTTATCACATTATTGTGTCATCAGTTCTTGATACGAGTGCATATTTTCAAGTCAATCGGCCGTCGACAATTTGGTGAAAATTGCATTAAAGGATTTCGTTATATAGATAGATGAAGAGACACGTGAAGCTAATAAAAGCGTGTTATAATAATAACGATGTTATTAAATTTGTTCTCAACATGACCTAAAAAATTATTAGCCTTTTCATTTTGGATTTTTCTATTCCATTTTGGAATCTCTTCAAGGCACACGTTTAAATAGCGATCCAGTCTCATCTTTATAATTTTTATCGAGGCAATTATTATGATGCGTGTTTCTGTTTTCGTACAACACTTGTCCGTATGTTTAATTAAAACAAATGTTTTTGGCAGTAATGTTTGGCAGTTACATTTAAGTAGACTAAAAAAAGATTCAAAAAATTATACGTATAATTGTGTACACAAATACAAAATAAAACTTCTTTACAACATATCATTCTTCTTTTATTTTATATTTTACATAAGTAGGTAAAATAATAGTGAACTCATTCAGTGTTGAAACGTTACAAGAAAACGTGACGTTTTTGAATTTTTAAAATTGTACAAAAATTTTCTATTAGGACGTTAAATAACTTTAACTACCAAAAAATTTTAAAATACTGCAACGCCATAAAGCCAAATTTTAACAGTTTTCCCGCTGAGCTGTGTTTACATAGGGGAATAAGCGATCATTCGGAACCTAAAAGTCTAATATGTGTTATTGTCATAATGTTTTTAATTATTTAGCTTCTAAATAGAACTTGGTACTTTTTATTAGATTGTTTGGCTCTACAATCCCACGGAGGTCCACACAACGTGGCGTTTATTGCGTAGCGATGTGACCGCCCCGGGCGCTGTGATCCGGTGCCTCCAATACTTTGCCGAAGTGTCGCCTTTGGACAAACTGGCTATACCCTTTGCATTCATGCCAACAGAGATGATAGACTATGAGGTATTTACTCATTACATTAAAATAAGCAAATGAATTTAAAAAGATATGCGTGTAAAAGTAAAATGGTGTGAATAAGTTGTTCGAAGAGCCCAGCCCAATCTCTCCTTGAAAGAATGAATAAAAAGTTAAAGTTGCAGCCTATATACGTCCCACTGCTGGGCGTAGGCCATTTCTAATGAATAAATTTTTAATAAAATAATGTAATGAAACATACTTTAAAACATATACATATACATAAACATACATATTACCTACAATTGGCGGCCGCGATAACTCTTGAAGCGATCTCTAGGTACTAGGCCACCATAAATTGCTGAGGATAATAAGACCTGTGGGAAAAGGTAAGGGTGTAGATACGCAAGTGCTCCTTCTAGCCCTTGGTTGAGTAAAATTGTATTAGCGAATTAATCTTCTCATTTTTTATTTACTTCAAGTGAAAACTTAAAATGTTGTACGTTCTGTTAATTTGTAATTTAGAATGGCCGTCTGTGAAATTTTAAGGTATTAAATCAAAAAATATTTCAGACTTTTCGTAAATTAGGACACTTCATTTAGAAATTTTGAATATGAATAAAACTCTTAATCTGTTTCATGTATTTAGGTAAAGCATCTTTTGTAGGTATCACGCATCCTTCGAATTATAAATATTACAAATATTCGAATAAACACAAATAAGCAATATTTTTTGTCAATTGTAGGTAACATTTCTATGTTCATTTGGTTTCGATATTGTCAGCATATTAGTTAAAGGACAAGGCGGGTTACCAAACTGCGTCGAGACGAGACTTGACATTCCCAGTTACGTAGAAAAAATAGCTAGAGCTGCTTGTAGAACCAATGTGGTAAGTTTTTTTACTATTTCAGATGTATGAGAAAGCAAATATAGCTCGAAGAACCGACAACCGTTGGGGAAGAAGGGTTCTCGAGAGGCAGCCTCGTACCGGTAGGCGTAGTGTAGGGCGCCCCCCCCCCCCCCACTAGATGGAGTGACGACCTGGTAAGACATGCAGGAAGTCGATGGATGCAGGTGGCTCAGGACCGTGCTTTGTGGCATACCTTGAGGGAGGCCTATGTTCAGCAGTGGACTTGTGAAGGGCTGTAATGATGATGATGATGATGATGATGATGAGAAAGCAAATATGTATCGTTTTAGTTGAAAATGCATTGAAACAATATTTTGTAGAGCGTACTCCTCCATTAAATTATTTCTTGTAATGGGAACACAGACGCAGCGATAAAACAGTGCAGATAACACTTTTTTCTGAGGTGGGACCAAGAGGTTACGGACCCAACCATGTTCCTGGACTGCTAGATAATGTTATTTATTCTCTTCTAAAGTTGGAGACACCTAGTTTTCAGAGAGTTTTGAGGAAGTGACACCTTATTCCGTGCCACCCCGTATGTATGTAGGAAGAGGCCTACATACACACGAAGGAATATATTAATAGTATAATGAATTAGACGCGCCTAAGAACCCATTATGTTGACTTAAGCAATAGAGTTGTAGACACACCTGCCTATTCAAATGCCTTTTAAAATGATAAATAGAAATTGTATAAAGTAGCAGTAAATAACTTCGTAGTTTCTTATGACCATGCTGGCATTGTCCTAACTCCTAACTTTCATACACTACTACTACTCAAACGCTTGTTTCATAAGTAAAAATCTATTACGTAACAGGAAGTTTACTGCAAGTTAATAATTTACATAATTTTCCATGCAATGAGAGTAATTGTACGTCTGTCGTTACGTGTACTTTCGAAGTAACTAGCAGCACGTAAGTACCTAAGAAGTTGGTTCTTTTACCCATGTACCAGCAGCATCCATAGTGGCGGAGGACTGAGGTGAAAAGTCGAGATTCATATAATGAAGATAAAATTAAACGCGATAAAACTTAAAAAAAAGAATATTAACAATGCTAATAAACATTACTAATATTCCCCCAAACCACTCGTGGTAAGCTTAAATTGCTTGTGTTACGAGTGGTTCCCGCCAGTAATCGAATGGCGGATTCGAACCCACGACCATTTTGAGTTCGCGGTCCGCGCCCTGCCATTAGGCTACTGTCGCTTTCTTGATTTATTATTTTTTGTTTTTCAGGTTTACTTATCCAAAGATCATCTAACTTTGCCAATAATGCCTACTCACTCACTTTCGAGAGAAATTATAGCTATTTGTAACGACACGAACCGTCTCATAAGATTCATATGGATACCGTGAGTAATAATATGCGTATTAAAAATGCGAAAAATGTTTATTTATAACATTATATCAACCAGCGACTCTAAGTTCACCATACTTTTACGGGCTAGAGCCTTGCTGTGGCACAAATGGGTCGGCTCGACCGAGGTAGGACCACGCGCTTAATACTGGTTACTATAATATATATATATATATATAAAATATAAACAATAAAATAATGCTATTTTTCGTATGTAGAGAACCGGAGATCCTTTTTACTGGTAAGTAGGCTTTTTATCTTATTCCTCAAAGGTTGACAACGTATCTGCATATAGTAGATCACACTCACTTTCACAACATCTACTTCTATTAGATGGTTTGTGTGTCGTTTGTCACTCTTATTCTATAAAAAACAAGTTTTTAACCTTCATGTCACCGAGTCATTGTTATCATAATTGTTACTTTGATATCACCGAGGAGCAAAAAGTAAATGAATACCATACTAAACTCAAATGGCTATTACTCCATCTCCATCTGAATAGTCAATATTCTTTCTGCGCTCTACTGAGTCTTATTTAATATATCAAGTCTTCCCTATCTAAAAGAATGTTTTCAGTTGCTTAGCTCCTGTCGTAATTTTTCCTTACGGTCCAAAGAATATCTTTTCCTTCAATGTCCTGTGCACTCCTCTACATTTTATATAAATAATTCTCCGTCCTCGGAGAAAGTGGGACTCCTTACCCCAGATGATTAATCAGCCCCGGATCTACGATTTTGTTGAACCGGGGCAAAAACTTGATAGTGACGCCTCCTATCTTCAGCGTTTGAGATTTGTTAAAAAAGTCATGAATACATAATGGGTGGTACAAATTTTTCTGTAATTGGGACAATAAGAACCCTTTAATAAATTCGCACTCTTTATTTATTACCTATTAGCCAATAACGTTTTTATTTGTATGACATAAAATTATTTTAAGAAAACATATAGCCAGGAAAGACAATCAAGATATTTAGGATCTTTAGGTCTCAGCATTTTTTTCTCTAATCTTGCTACAACTTTACGCGGCGTGCTTTCTTTTCTGCGAAAGAATCTATTAGTTCATCAAAGTCTATCTCAAAGGCAGTTTTATTTTCAATGGCTAAGATCGCGAGGCCAGATAAACGTTCCTGACACATTGTTGAACGCAGATAGGTTTTAATTATTTTCAGTTTGCTGAAGCTTCGCTCACAGCTTGCAGATGTCGAAGGTAATGTGCAGTATATTCTTAAAGCTATACTAACATTAGGAAACGCTTCTTGCAAGTCATGCTTGCACAGATATTGTAACAGGTCAAATGCACTTGATTTTTCACTAATTTCGGTTATTAGCTCTTTAAAAACGGCAAGCTCTTGGCAAAAATCAACTGGATTCAAGTCTTTTGCGTATTTTCGAGCTAGATCGGCTCCATTTTTTCGCAGATCTTCAGTTGACATATTTAAAAACGCGTGACCACTAAGAAAGGCAAAATTATCATGTAGACTCTTTGCGCTCTCTACTCTTGTTTTAATTTCTGTTAAAATTTTGTAAAATACTACTTTTATATCTCTGGAAAATAAACCAGATGGATCTAGCGTTCTTGATTCGTCCTCGCAGATTTCATCGTGTTGCCTTTTCTTTTTGGAAATTCGTTTGATTTTAAGGACTGGCTCCATTTCTAACTTTTCGGATACAGGTAAAGCTTCTTTGATCCAATATTCTATTGGTTTTTCTCTCATTCCTTGCAAGATCTTAACAAGACCTTCCATTATCCCCACAGAGCGCGAAATGATAATACCCTCTTTTTGTATTTCTACGTTCACTCTATTCATCTCTCGAAGAATATTATCCCAAATTGTTAAGTTAAGGATAAATTTAAAATCCATCACCGCATGTAGTAAATGACCAGCTTCGTACTTAGATTCTGCGACTAGAGAAGATTCTTCAATTTCTTCCAGAGCTTTGACAACTTCCGGTAAATTATTTAATAGTGCAGTAACAGCCTAATTTAGCCGACCATCTGTTACCCTTTTAAGTTCTTTTTGTACACTTTTGCATTATTTTCCACCGTGTGGTGGATCCAACAAAGAAACAAAATAGTTTTTGTACAAGCCCAAATAGGCTAACTGCTTCTGGACATGATGACGCTGAATGCACGCCCACAAGATTTAAAGAGTGTGCTAGACATGGTACAAACTCTGCCAGCTCGTTCATTTGTATAACTCTGGATTGAACTCCTTTATATATGCCAGCCATATTAGATCCGTTGTCGTAAGATTGTCCACGACATTTTTGCACATCTAAACCATCAGCGTCTAGTTTTTCTAGAATTCGCTGTGTAATATATTCTCCAGTCTTTCCATCGACTTCAATAAAATCAATGAAGCTTTCCTTTATTTCACATCCAGATTCTGTTATTTTTATAAATCGAATCACCTGGCTCATTTGTTCTATGTGAGATACATCTGGAGTGCAGTCAAACATGATGGATAAATAGTTGGCCTCCTTGATGTCATTAATAATGGTATTTCGAACTTTGTTTGCCATTATATCGATAATTTCATTTTGTATCGTTTTCGACAAATTGGATATCTGTCCTTTTTTTAAGTGATCTAAATGGTATTTGAGAGTAGGATCGTATTTAGCGAGCAAACTTATCAAATTAAAAAAAATTCCTTGAATAGGTTGAGGAAAATTTTCAGTGAAATCTCTCACTATTTCTTTAGAAACTCTAAAAGAAAGACAGTTTGTGGCAAGATACATGACAGCGTCGATTACTACATGCAGAATATGTCTCCACTTTTCTTTCTCAGAGTGAATTAATCGCTGTATGTTGCAATCGATGCCCTGACACAATTTCATTTGCTGTAGACGAGTTTTCCATTTAATAAATTATTTTTTATGACTTTGTGATACTTCGTGCTCAGCTAATCTTTCCGAAATCTTTTTCCAATTAATGAGACCCTCATTACACAAGGCTGTTGTAGAAGTGCTGGCGAATAACTTGCAGGCAGTGCAGTAAAGTGCATTTTTTGTTTTCAAATAAACAAGCCAGTACCTTTTAAAATTTTCTTTATTCGCCATTGTTCCGAACCACATGCTATGTTTCAAACGCCTTCCGTTACGTTCAGTAGAAACTAAACTCTATATTATTTGGATGTTCATCATTTAGTAATACAGCTTGTTTGCTAAAGAATGATCTTTGTTGATCTGTCATTTTCTCGTGGTCCGGCCACGTACCTGGATCCATTACGTCGATAATTTTGTCTCTGCTACTTGACTGTAATAAGTCACTAGATGCTAGCTGAACGTCATCTTCCGGCTGAGATAATACCGACGATGAAGACTGTTTACCTTCATCGGAGCCTTGAAATTTTGACTGTTCAGTCAAATTAACTTGAATATCCAAGATACAAGAGTTATTCGGAATACCCGGAATCGTATCGGAAGTATGAACGGAGCGTAACGATGAGCCTCCTTCGTGAAGCCACTTAATCATCTTAGAAGCCGATTTATTTACGTCTTCAATTTTGTCTCTAGCCCTTTTTCTGTTTTCAGCTCCAGAAAGCTTTTTTCTTGGTGCACTCGTCGCTTGCTTCTTACAACCTAAAATATACATATTTATTTATTTATTTGATTATTTTGCATAATGTGTGTGTTTTACAGTTGTTATAAAGAAAAAATATAGTACAACACATTAACCATTTCCGGTGTACAAAATGATATAAATTTAAAAACATTAAGTTTATTAACTACAATATAGATTAAAATTACAAAAAAAAATCATTGATAATAATTAACAAACCAAAAACATAAAAATAAACCAGAAAGCGACGTAATAAAACAAAAACATTTACTATTAATTGCACTATCACATTTAATATTAATATTTATATTTTCATGTCACATTATATATTATTATTAAAAATAGTCAAAAATTTAAAGATATTGTTTTTCCAACAACTCACTAACCGAATAAAAAGATTTATTAAATAGCCACTTTTTTAACTCGTTCCCGAAACTCTTCCTTGGTTCAGTTTTATGTTATCGGGTATAGCGTTAAATACTTTTATACACATTGCATAGCAATTCTTATGATAATTAACCGTTTTTGGAATTTTATCAATGACTAATTTACCTGGATGCCTCAAAAGTTTGGATTTGATAATATCTCCAGCAGTTATAAACAGCTCGGGGTTATTTTTATTATAAATATATTTTAACACTAATTAATGCCTGAATTATAATAAAAGTTTAATTTTACATCGGCGGAAGTTTATTCTTATGAGTTAGGTGTTATTGGCACTTCATCAACGGTATAATATACATTTAGAAAGTACATACAATAGCACCCATAAGATAATATAATATGTTTTCTTTCTTACCTGTTATTTTTGTAAATCGTTTATTTCCACGACGGTAGTTTAAATCAATTATTTCGCTTAAAAATATTATAATAACGATTATAACTCACAAACATTCACAATTAACCACAAAACAAACAGTGATCGTCACTTGACGTTCGACCGTGGTATCTAAATGAGACGGGGATTCCCCTAGCGTATAGATCACGCATATTATGCTTGCGTTCAAAAATCGACTTAGAATACGTTCATAAATCAACATAGGAAGCATTCCGAAATGCGCTGCGAGCAGATGTAGCGTCATCTAATCGCGGGAATTTGAATTTAAATAATTTATTAATTTTATGATAAACTAAGGATAAAATTATTTTTTAAATCATTTTTAACGTTAATTCTTTGTAGAATCAATAAACAATTTAAATCAATATTCACGCGATTAGATGTTGCCAACAACCTACTTCGCTACAACTGCTGGTGGCGCATGTCGGAATAAACCCTTAGGAAGTGTTCAAAAACCAACTGGGATTTTAAAATCAAGTGAATAATTGACAGAACAACGTGCGATGGATAATAGTCGCTTTGTGAAGCAAATTTTCTTAACCATATTATACTATAATTATGGCGCCCCTGAAACTGCCCCGGGGCGAGTGCCCCGGTTTGCCCCCCCCTAGATCCGGGGCTGTGATTAATGTTGAAGAAACAAGTTGAGGAACACTATTTGTCACTTTGACCCGCAACTTCCTCCTTTTATTTATGATCAGTGATCACTGATCTACCTAAAGCATGTTGTCTTTTTATTTATGATCAGTGATCACTGATCTAACTAAAGCATGTTGTCTTTTTATTTATGATCAGTGATCACTGATCTACCTAAAGCATGTTGTCTTTTTATTTATGATCAGTGATCACTGATCTACCTAAAGCATGTTGCCTTTTTTATTTATGATCAGTGATCACTGATCTACCTTAAGCATGTTGTCTTTTTATTTATGATCAGTGATCACTGATCTACCTAAAGCATGTTTTCTTTTTATTTATGATCAATGATCACTGATCTACCTAAAGCATGTTGTCTTTTTATTTATGATCAGTGATCACTGATCTACCTAAAGCACGTTGCCTTTTTAGTGCACCCTACCCGTTAATATTTCTTTTATCATTATTTAATTCTTTTTCTGGGTTGTATGGAAGAGATTGTCATGTACCAATAAGACCGCCTTTTGTTTTTCTCTCATTCTTTGTTTAATTTTATTATACAATTTATCATTTCTTGGTGTACAATAAAGAGTATTGTATTGTATAATAACTGGCTACTGCAGCTCATGGGCAGTAATATACGCGTTGTCACCTCCGAGGACTATGATGGAATGTCTCGCAGAATTCATAACCGGAACACAGCAGTCGATAAAGAGAAATATGAGTTTGAAGGGACATCAAACCGAATCCTAAATAGAAAGGGAGAATCGCCAACTAAAACATTCCTTTATATTTATTTCTTTAAAAATCAGTTGTGTTCGTAAGATTTTCGTAATGACCTTCGTTTTGAATTTTATTTCTACATGCAATATTTTCTTGTCCATTATGTCTCGTAAGAAACCCATAAATACAAAAATGCATCAATTGTATTAGATCTTTTACAAAAGTATTTTTTCCGGCTTGGTTTTGAACCTAGGAGTGCCCACTGGCTTACTAATTTTCTACATACATCTACCTTACTGAATCCCTGTTACAATAAAAAGTTGTTAAATAAATGAAACGAAAATTATTACTTTTTACTTTAACCATAGCATTAACTATATTAATTATAATAAGCTTACACCTCCAGTGAAAGAATTGCAAACATTGTAAACATAGTAATGACACCATGGTGGGGAATCATACAGCCTAAGAGTACAGAATGGATTACAATGACTGTCTACACCCTACAAGAACCAGCGATTTTCACGTAAGTTTACCTCGTAGAGAGGTAGAGTATCTCTGAAATATCACTTCCGAAATTCAATCATTTAATATCCTTTGTAGATTTAATGCGTCATTTTGAAATCCACGGCTAAAATGTAGATTTTAGCTGGTTGAGTCACATTGTAACTGTATAATACATTCTGCTGCAGCAAGAATGGCTTCGCTCGACCGCGGAATGATCATGCTCTCACGAAAACTAGTGTTAAGTAGCATTTTAATTATATTGTGTTTTTTAATATTGTGCGACTTTTTTTACTGAAAACAAGCATAGATTATGTCTTAGTCCTCAAGGGTTACGACGCATCTGTATTTTGATTCTTATTCGAGGTAAGACATAGGTAAGCTACAGCCTATACTTAGCACCATTTCGTGGACTGTGTGACCCGTATGAAAATAAATAAAAATTAAGTTGTCATCACCGGACATCGCCGCCATTGGAATTTTTCACGTGCTGGTATGGAGAATACAGTTACTCGATGATGCACTTCATGTAAAGGTGACTGAATGTATATTATGCCGTCGCCGGATGGTTAAATTAACCCATTATGGTTCATAAAAGATACCTTGATCTCTGCGGCAGCTGTCAATAAAATCACGCCTATGAAGTCCTGAATTTCTTAGTAGTACAGACAGTACCTGTCAATGTCATACTTTACGGGCATTCACTAATTAGGTCGGCATGCCCATAAAGTATGACATTGACAGGTACTGTCTGTAAAGAAATTGAGGACTTCATAGGCGTGATTTTTACTGACAGCTGTCGCAGAAATCAAGCTATCTTTTATAAACTATAGTTGGAGGGCTGGGCTGTTAAATAGACTCCAGCTGACATCCGCCTAGACCGAGCGTTTATCATTACCTTACATTACCTTTAACTAGTTAGCTGGTTGAAAGATAGCCTTTTGGAAATGGCTGACCTGAATGCCGCCGGGTTTTCATTATGGTCGTTATACGATCGTTAGAATCGGGCAGACCGTAATCTGCCTGGTCATTTCATGATACATCGCCATTTCATTCACACATTTAGCAGTTAGTAGTAAATACAAAACAACATTAAAAGAGATGAAGTATGTAAACCAACAGCAATACTGCCTGCCTGTTACGATATGATACAAAATAGCGTCTCCGCAATATAATTCTTTCTTTACAATTTTACCAAAAATATTAATTACACCTTCGGGCATATCCCTCATAATCGCCTAAGCGATACTTTATACTGCTGGAACGAGTCGGAGATTACAGTCGTACCCTCACTTTTGCGTATTTTCTTTTATTTTTAACCTAATTCCTAATAATAAGTAAATTAGGTACACATCAACGACACATTACATTGCAGGGTCACTCTTTTAATTTCAATCAACGAATCCCGATTAACCCTTCCGTTGAACATTGCTTTCAAAATTCGGAGACCAATCGACCTAGGTATCCAACTGAATGCCGACATCTAATTAACATCCTAGCCCTCCAATTAATTGGCTAATTTAACCATCGGTGACGACAATTTAAAATATGTAGGCAGTAAAGTGCCACAATTATATTTATGTGCAATCGTGAGGCATTCACGTGTCCTAATCAAAGATTTAAATAGTGAGATGCACCTTCACCTTGAAAAACTGTTGCATTACTTTTGAATGTGTGCATTTGCAAAACGCTGACGCGCGCACACTAATGCAATAGTGTCAACTCTTATTATCTTACAGAAATTATGTATACTACTTTCTCTGTCGCACAAAAGAGCACTGATTGTGAATAAGTGAGCTAACTCACTTTTTGAGAATGGACACATTTCGGAGTGGTTATACTATGGTAAGGGCGCATCTAACTATTGAAATCTTTGGTCCTAATGCAAAGTAACTGCTGCACACAGGCTTCCTTTAATTCTTGAGAGGGTTTTCAGGACGGCAAAAAGTCCGCTGCACTTCCCTAATACGTATTAAAGGCTACAATTGGCTTGTCATGACCTCGTAATATTTTTATTATTTCTCCATGTCGAATTCCTTTTTTTATTCACCGTCGACCACGTTGTAATTTAGTACTTAAAATTGTAATAAACAATGTGATTTGTACCGACTGAGATCGAACTCGATTCGCTTTATTTACTATTTACATGTGTATCAATTAAAATCACAACAATAAGTCTTATACACTGAGCTACCACGGCCTTACACATTTCTATGTATAAAAGATAACGGTTAAGAGGTACGCTTTGCTATAAGTCGTTAAGCGCTTTAGCTATTTTATGGCTGAAGTACAAATAGGTCGGCTAGAAAGGAGAAGAACACTTACACATAAGACAAGCGTAAACTAGCAGCTTATGCTGGTGTTTTTCGGTGAGTGTAGAGAACCTGTTTACCGGAAACAAAAGAATAAGAGTAATATGGTAGTCACATACCCTACCTTGAGCCGTGGTAGCTCAGGTGGTTAACGCTCGCTGTAAATATAACAGAACGCGAGCAACCCGGGTTCAATCCCCGCCGGCACCAATGAAATTGTTAATTGCAATTTTAAGTGCTGATTTACACGCATTGGGGCAGCGTGGCGGACACTTCCTTGCCCTAAAACCCTCTCAAAAATGAGGGGAGGCCAGTGCCCAGCAGTGGGACGTATATAGGCTGTAACTTTACTTTACTATACCCTACCTTACTTAACTTCTTGTCACCGGTCCAGTTAGTTCCGCAATGGGCCAGTAGTCTTTATTTAAATACGGGACCCTAAAAGGAATAAAGGCACATCATCTAAATGTACTACATGCATACATTTTGCGTATGTACTTCTTTAATATTTAAGTTCTTGTCTTTATTGTAAACAAACAGAACCACAGTTTCCTGCGAAATTCTGGACTTAACTGAGCGACGACGTTATCTGCAAAATGAGCAATTAAAGAAAACTAAAACGCAGCAATGCGAACAAGAATTCATTATTACTGAACAAGGATTATTTCATCGCGTAAGTACATCTATGTATTTTAAATGCTTTAGTGCAAATAGTATTTTAAAAGGGTTTTGCGATTGCAAAGCTATTAACCGTATATACTTATAATAATTTCTTGGCATTTTGAGATTTTCGATGAGTGTAGATTGGAGCCGCATTTTGTCCATATACATTTCACTCGTAATAGCACCCGTTGCTAAACTTGTATGTGCATGCATACAGGCGTTCTCTCATCTCTACCTACAAGTTTGCATACCTATATCCAAAGTAGAGCCTGTTACAACTTACTTCACAACTCTAAAATTTGCTGGAAGGAAACCCCATAAGCTCGCCTTTGTACGTATTATGTTATTCAAACCTTTATTTATAAATTATTTGGGGTACATAAAGAATTAATTTAACAAATCAATTAACAGTTTTTGTGGCCTAGGAGCTGATCTACCTCGGTTTTTTTACGAATATGACGCCCTCACGAAACTAAAACTTAACATTTATAGCGGGAAGATTAACGGTAGCTTCAGATGTCAATGGCTCAGACGGACCATAGGAACATCTAGTCACGAAACCATGGCGTCTTAAACACGATTATTAGCTTTGTCGTGGAATCGATTTCTTACTCTCTTAGTCTTAATAACAACCATTTTCAGGGAATCAATGACAGTCCACCATATGTGTTAGAAATTGAAAAACCGCAATCATACTATCTAGCTATGTCTGTTTCAATTTCATCCAAAGGCCAGCGCGATGGGTACACTAGGATGCTCTTGAAACAAATGTGGGAACAGGTAACTATATGAACAATTCTAAAATACGTATTGGTTCAAGGTACAATAATTATTGTTTGCGTATCGTAAGGTAATATAAATTTTTTGAGCCGAGACCGTCGTAACTGCTAATGTTGCTCTCAATCGATTTTTAAAAATGTCATCATGACTTGCGTTAGATGGTGAAAGTAAATACGATAGTCGTCTCACATATAAAAATACGCCGAGATAATTATTTCGTAAAAGGCGGCTACAAATAGTTTTAGCTATGAATAAATCGTAATAGGTAACCTACACTTAAGTTTTACTAACTAAAACCGGCTATACCTAGTTCTAGCCGGCTATTACATAATAATACCCAATTACATACCTTTTAAGTGTTTCCAAAAGTTTGTGCTTCCTACCTATAATAATTAAAAGTAAAACATCACAATATTTTTATTTAGAGGATGTTCGCCGCTTAACTTTTTTTTCCATATCCGTAATCTTTTGCCGATGCGGGTTTGCAGCGGCTTAAAGGATGATTTTTTGGCCAACGTAAGGAATAAGGAATTATTTTGTTAACAAATATCTTTGCAAGGATGAATTGAGAATATATTCAAAATACACGTATCGTAAAATATAATTTTCTCCAAGATTGAACTTTGGTGTATACTAAACAAAATTTAATTCGATAGACTCCGCCATACGATTTACTATCATCTGAGATTAATCCACACGAAGGAGGCAGAGAACTGACTTCAAGCGGGAATAATATGACGCTAACTGATATAATAAGAATTATAGACGGAGTTTTATGGTATGCACAGGCAATATTACATAATATCATTCATTTCTGAATAAATTGATTGTTTTAATTGTATTCAACAAATGGTAATATTTTAGGGATGCACTACATAGTAAGATGTTTAGGCACCAGATCGAATATTTCTCCAAGGAAGAGATACCTACGTATGAGGACTTAGTTAAGACAATCGAAAATTACTCAAAGCCAAGATTCAGCAAACGGTATGTTTATATTTGCATTCATGTAGGTATTTGGATATTTATATTTATGATAGGTATTTGGAGAACGCCGACAACGTCAAAGACGTGAGACGCCTAGTAGTGGGATAGCCAACCCATTGAGTAAAAGTGAAGAATGCGGTAAATCTGCCCTTTAGAAGAATCGAGCCGTGGACAATTAAGGGATTGATGCGAAGAGGATGATAAAGGAAGGATGCTCCGAGAACCAACAAATGTACGTAACCAACTACGTAGAACCTCTTTTCTGCCGATCTGTCTGTACAAGTATCATCCTCCTACCTATTTATGTCGTCGAGTAGAAATGTATTTTATCCTCTTACCTACTTCTGCCGCCACTGTTTGCACTGCTGTGGTCTTGAGGGTAGAGAGCCTATGTAATTACAGGCTGTGAAGCATTTCAACTTAGTTATAACTCAAAGATTACAACGTATTTATCGCTGTGTTTGTTTGAAGTTGGCTGGATGTCACTATGGACCTATGGATATTCGTTTGTCATTTCCGTTTTATAACAACAGACAATTCTTGGAATAAATTCAATTTGTTCTATTCAATTAGGTTTCCCCGAGATTTATTGTTTTACTACCGAGCTCATGGTGTATTTTTGAAATAATATCCGTGGTTGTTCTAAAATCCTTATACGCTAGGAATCAATCTTAAATGGCAAATATCCTACGAAGTTTAAGGCGGATATTCGGCACTTGGTCTACGGCAATCCCGTTTTATTAATATAACTGTTGATATTGTATTACTTTATAATAAAATATATGCAATTGTTTCTTAGAATCACTTCCGGGATATGCGACGCCATTGTCAACAAAGCAATATTCAATGTCTACAATTTGAACGTTAAACAAGGTGTATCTATTCTAGAAGCTGAATAACATAATAATTACAAAATAATAATAAAAATACCAGTATACTATTAATTAATTTTATTTATTCATGTCAACCTTAACCATACTAAGTAAAGATATCACAGATTAAAAATTCAATTAAGAATCTTGTCAAGTTTAAGTTGCAGTCTTTTTGGCTTTGGCGTGCTAAGAACTGTAACAGATACTCTGTCTCCAAGTTTGGGTGTTTGGTTTCCTCCTAAATTGCTTCTATGTATTAGACCATTGTCGCCAACGCCACAATCAACGAAACAGCCAAAAGGAACCACGTTCCGTACCACTCCTGAAATAAACATTTTTATAATTAAAGTTTTACATTCAGGAATACAAACCATCAGTAAAATAGAGAAATCTTTGATAGTACAATGAAATGAAATATAAAAGACGGCAGATCACAAGTTCAGAAAGAATTGCATTTTCAAGCCTTTTTGTTTTCCAAATATTGATCAATTTTGTGTATTCTTGACAAACTTTTTATTTTTATAGAAAATTTAACCACTTTCTCTGGTATTTTGTTACATAATTGAACGCATTTTCTCGAAAAAGATTAAAATTATAATTTAAAGTGTAACCTAATTTTAATCTTTCTTTTAAATAATATATAATAAAGATGACAAACGAGCACACAGTCCACATGATGGTATGTAGATGATGTGGCCCATGTACATCAACTAAGAATTTATCCTCAATTAAGAATGCAGATGCGTTGTCACCCCTGAGGTCTGAGATGGAAAGCTACATTTTCAGTAAATAGGTGTCTGGTTCTCTACACTCACTATACGAAAGTATTATGTGAGAGCGTGGTCCTACCCTGTGCCAGCCGACCCATTCATACTATAACCATAATATAGATGCAGCGTGGCTCTACCATGTATCAAATATAAGAAATTTTACAAACTAATATCAACTAAAAACAAAAGTGGACCACAAGAATCAACCGCTGGGGAACATCCAATTATTTACCTACGGACAATGCGCCATATACGTTGTTAAACTTCCTTCTACTAACAATTTGAAAGTATGATGATATAAGACCTAATACATGATCACAGATACCTTAATACCTACACTCTACCTACACTGTGTAGAGATATTTGATAAGTAGAAACTAAATTATCAGATGTTTTCACATCACCCACACTGAAACAAAAAAAATACCTGTTAATGTTGTGCCTGCCGCTAGCTGCTCAGATGTCTGAACGGAGACAGAATACACGGGTCGACAGAAACTAATAACATTATCTTCATAGGGTTTTTGTTTGAATGCACTTAATATTAGCTCTAATGTGGATACATCTGTATTAAGATCCTTGCTCGTTACGAGTAAATCAATGCCTGCTGTCTTTCTTTCAACTGCTTCTGGGAAATGTGATTGGGTAAGTTCTTTAATATTGACGCCGATTTTCTTAGCAAATCTGAAAGATAATAAGCAAGAGACCTGATAACATAAACACATACATAATATGGGCTCCCACAGTACGCGGCAGGATAGAAAAATTTGTCTTAAGGGGAAATATAACCAAAGTCAAATGGCTTGTTTCATGCCGCCTGGTTCCAAGCTGCAGGACGCCGATAATTTAGGTAATTTCTTTTTACAGTGAAAATAATGGTCTGCCTGCCCTGCTTTATAGTAAGTTCAGTTAGTATGCAAAGTTTCATGATCTTATTTAAAGTATTTTATGAATAACAGCGGTTTATTGTTCAGTTTGGAGGTAACTTAGAATTTTTTTTTCTATAGAGAAAATTTTGCGGAATATTGTTTTCGTCTAACATAGTACTTAACATTAATCCTCTCAACTTTACCATATATTTATTTCAAAATTAATGCTGCAATATTTTCGGCATAACGGAGGATCTTGCTAAGCCATTTGAGGTAGTATTTTTAATATTTCCCCTTAAGCAACACTTGAGGGACAAACGACTTCGTTATAAAGATTAAAGTAGGATCGTTCGTTAGTTCTTTAGCTAGCTTCCCTACGCAAAGCAAAGTGTGAAACACCATTTTTCAACCGACTTCAAAAAGGACGAGGTACTTAATGCAACTATGTTTTTTTTGTGTGTTACTTCAGACTTTTTTTCTGGGTGAACCGATTCTGATGATTCTTTTTTTATATAAAAGCTGGAGTTACTCATGTGGTCCCAAATAAATTTTATCAAGATCAGACCAGTAGTTTTGATTTATTCTTATCAATGCGTATTTAATTGACTTCGAATCATTGATGATGTACTTATTTTTTATATTGAAGTCGGTTGTACAAAATTTTTAGTTTTACTACTTGGTCGAAAATTACGTTAGCGCACTATGCGTAAAATTTGCTACGGCGGCAAAAGGCCTCTTTTCATAACGATATATTTTCAAAATATATCGTTATGAAAAGAGAATTGAATTAATGACAAACTTGTTTTGACTTTTTATCTAGTAGTCAACTTAAGTGAAGTCGCATCACAGAGTTAACCGATCACAATGCCCCATTCAATGCTACGTATGCACAACAAAGAGCATTTAAGTATTGTTGCTGAAATCTTACTGATTAAATACAAAATGGGAAAACTTTGTGAGTCAAAGGTGAAAAACATCGTAAAGCGATTGACAGTTCGTCTGTCAAGCGTGGCGATAATAGTGAATCCGATGGGAGAACGAGAGAGACAACGTCCAGCATTAGACTTTTACAGTCACAAAAAGTACAAGTCACAAGGAAAAAAGCAAGCTTATTAAGTCGGTATTTCTGAGATGTTGTTTGCCTGCATTTGTCAGCTATCAAAGAATCTGGAAGTTTTAAAACGCTTTCGAGTTGAAAGTGATGAATTCTTTTCAAATAAAAATACTTACAATTTAGCAATACTGTAACTTTCTGGATGTATAATTGTTGCATCTAAAGGTTCAGTCCCAGTTAAAACTTTGAGAAACCCAGCGCATTGCTGATATGTAATCTTCCCGATTCCAGATACCTTGAGAATTTCTGCTCTAGTTGTAAATCCTCCATTATCCTGCCGGTAAGCTATAATCTTTTTAGCCCGTCCATCATTTAGGCCTGAAATTCGTCTGTAATAAAAAAGTATTTCAAATTATTATTTAATTAGCGTCATAGTTATATAAATAAAGTAAGAAACAACTTTATTTGACGCTACATAATAAATAATTGCACCACGTGATATAATACATTATCATTAAAACAGCAACAAATATGCATCCGACTCAGCATTGTGACACAGTGTTATAGCCAGATATTTTGCCGGTGGCCTTATACCTGATAATCTTTCTTTACACTTATGTTGCACCTTGCAGTTAATTACAGCTGCAGTGGGAGTTACTTATTTAGTAAAGCGGCGAGTCACCACCTGCCACCTTTCTCGATCTTGATCTGTTGATACATAACGCCACGTGTCTTCAATCTCGCTTCAATAGCCCATTTTATCAAGCATCCTAATATGAATGTGCAAAAATCAAGCCATTTGCACCACCTTACTGATGTCTTCATTACAGTCAAACACAGTCAGTACTTCAAAATAAAATTATCTAAAGACCAGTTTCCTTGCGATTCCCTTTAATAACCAGGCCCATCAGACCCAGATCAACAAAGAGATACATAACATTATTTATACCGTACCTTAACATAGCCTGTGACGCTGTATTGATATCCACGCCAACTAAACTAACTACTTTCTCCACCGTTGCGTCCAATGCAGTTTCCAACATTTTTGGTGGGATATCATGTTGGTATAGACCAACTCCTAAATTTTTAGGTTCCACCTAAAATAGATAAAAGCGAGGTTAGTATTAGGATCAGCAAAATGGACATTAGAAATGTAATAATAGCCCATTATTATGACCACCTCCTCTCATTTCTGAGAATTTGCCCATGCGTATTGTAAACGTACTTCACATATCCTCTAAATATTTTTTAATATCTTATACACGATGAAATTGCAGTCATTGGCACCATTTAGAATTCATATTGAGGAATATTTTAAAGTTAATTAAATTAGTACCAAAGTAGTAAGACCACGCAAACTCTGGCGAGCGTTGCTCGTAGGCACTTACGTCTTTGTTTAAAGAGCCGAATAAATGCGATCTCTTTTATGTTAAAGTTTATTATTTATTTTGTTATAATCAAAGACTTTTATGAATACTGCTAGACGGTGTCTGCGGCCTAAATACCAATGTATTAAACGCACAAACTTAAGGTCAATTCTCCGTAACTCCTTTTCTTAGTAACGTTGTTTTTGACAATCAAATACTGATTTTGTTTAATATGACTACGAAAACGCTGTCACAATTTTTGTGCCGGGCTAGATATATACATACATAGAATGGATAGAATTATTTTTTCTTGTATATATGAAATACCATCAAAAACATAACTTGTAAAAAAACCAAGTCTCGCAACTTAGTTCTCCTATCGTAAAAAGTTGTGAGATCCATGTAATACCAAGTCGGTTAATTTATTCAGTCCCTTCTTAAGGGTCCTCCTGTCTTAAGTTATTACGTGTAATTAGCTAACATAACAACATCTTATTGTGACCATATCAATATTAAAAATCTTTTATGTTTTAAATAAATAGATTGACTTGTGCCATCGCATGAAAACACAATGTACCTCACAAGTAATACATATTATATTAAATTCGATTGCTTAGTGCGATTGCCAACTCACTTTATTATTTCAGTACCCGGTTTTTTCGCTCGGTTTTTTTAATTCGTGTGTGTTTGGAAATTATATTTAGATACAAATTACATACTGATGAAATACGAATAATATTTTTTGATCGTAGCGACATAATAAAAAAAACTGAACTGGTTATTTGAATAAAAAATCATGAGTGCAATTAGTTTAATTTAAATTTTCGTGTTTTTAAAAAATACTAAAAAAAGGGCACGAAAAAATAGATTTTCTCAAAAAAAAGGAACTTGAAAAAAAAAGTCGGTCGGTCGGTCTGGGCTCGAACCATGGTATTACGATTTTGTGACCGCCCAATATACGCTAATA